TCATAGGCCAACCGTTGCTGACTTCCACACAAAGTGGTACTCACTTTATGAAAACCCCGGAGGGGATAATGGGTTACTTCAACACCCATCCAGGATGTTGAACTATTAGCCTTCCGATTGCGAGCCGCTAGCTGAGCCACCTGGTAGGATAATCACGATGATGCTACAGCCCTTGCTTGGTATTTGGCTGCAATAAATGTCCGTACGATGTAAAGCCACCTTCGTTGAGCTTTCATTCGTGATCGCCAGATCGCTTTTGAAAAAGAGCTGCATATCTCAGTGGGCCTTACCTGCCAAAATACAAAAAGTAGTTTAGTAGTTTAGTTTTACATTGCACCCTTACCAGCACGAAATGTCTCGGCCTCCGTCACCTTTAACCGCGCAACATTCTCTGCATGGCACACACATGGTGGGTGCGCCAATCCTTCAAACGTTGACAGAACGTCCTCTTCTAGATTTGAAGCTTTCGTGACTGCAAGGATTCACACTATTAGGTTTTTTAGGTAAAGTCACGTAAGTAAAAAATAATAGAAATAAAATAATAATAAATGAAAATAAATCAATTAAATCACGACGTTTTGGAGGCAACACAAGTCTCCGTCTGCAGGTGGGACCGTCACAGCTAAATTTACGTCCTCTTTTGGTTAATTGGAGGATTACGAGAGTAAGCAAACACCATCAGCGGTGGAACAACAACAACAACAACAACATTAAACTAGTTTGCGTTGAGCTGAGAGCGGCGCGGAATCCTAAAGTATATTTCCCCATCGGCCCATAATCTCCTGCGTCGTCTTGCCAAAAGCCACACGAGGAGTGCTTTTGACAGTTGCCGAGGTTAATTCTCGTAAAAGTAAGAGTTAATATCGCTCTTTAATATTGCTCTTGGATCGCATCCACCTCTGGCAAGGCGACGTCTCTGCGTGTATCACCACTCATCCGTGTCTCCACGCTATGCGTTTTCAAATTGTTTTTCCTGAAATTGTAAACGTACTTTGCGTTAAATTAAATTCCCACCTCCAGTCTCTATCCCCCCCACCGCCGCTGCTAGGAATGTGAGGGCAGCGAAGTGGTTCCGAGCCACTTGGAGGTGAGATTACGTGGCAACAACAACCGCGGTGAGAGAATCGCCCCTTCGCTGAACAGCGAGAGGAGAGGCCTCCGTGTCGAGTCTCGGAATTCCTCGTCAGGAGGATCCTTAATCTGGAGGTTTAGGTCATATTTTTTTTATACATATATAGACATAGATACACGTGTATGTGGTGATACTGCGTTGGCAGTGATCCACAGCGCAAAGTAGTTACTTTAAAAAAAAACACGAAATAAACCCAAACACATTTGACCAAACAACATCGCGCCTGGCCGGAGCAAAGCCGCCGTTCCGAAACGCCGCCACGTGGCCCCATCCCTGAGCGCGGTCCAATAAAAAAAGATATATAATAGGTGACGTTTCGGGCAATGACCCTTCCGCGCAGCACCTCGGGAAGCCGGAGAGGTCGAAAGTGGCTCGCTTTGTCTTCGCGCGGGGTACGACTTACCGTGCAGTGAGCCCCGTCGGCACGGCTCAGCTGTGTGGGAAAGAAGGTGAGAGAGACACGGTGTCCCACAAAGGCCGTGCTCAACGGAGAGGGTCGTTACGTGGGACTTGCCCTGAGCGCGGATTTCATTCCTCGGTTTGTGCGACTGAGTGTAGCGAGTGTGTGTGCCCTTGGTTGTTGTTACTGGAATAAAATGTCGTTTGTGTGCACACAATTCGGCCGAATCGCCGCGGACCGATCTGGCTTCGTGTTTTTTTTTACGCCGACATTGTCGAGCGCGTCCTGGTAACGTTTGACCTCGCTTCAAACGGGGCGCGTCGTGATCGAATCGCGAGGTTTTGTTTACGAGGATTCGTCCTTCGAACGCCCACGCGACAATTGATTGCTTTGGCTGTGTCTCGTGATGGAGGATTTCTAAGGACAACGGTCAGGTCAGATCGTTACATGGCCTCGTCCAAGCATTGTCGATGAATTAGAAAGAGTTCTGCTCATTCCTACGACAGCATCGATCGCACCTCGGGCTGGCGTTGCCAGAGTTGTTTCGGAAAGATCGGCTCGCGCTGCGATAGACACTCACTGACGTAGTCCTCACCACACCTCGCAACACTCGAACTCACCCTCACTGATACCACTCACCTCTACAACATACCCACCCTACACCACTCACCCCACACCACTCACCCCACACCACTCACCTGACACCACTCACCACTCTCTTACCACATGTATCGCGTAGGAAGACACGGTTACATTTCCGTACCATCTGGGATTATTCATGAACATTAATTGGAATAATTAAGAGACATTTAAAACTACTCTTTCATCAAATGTATTTCTGAAATTACCATACATCCTCACATTTGCCACGAAGGGTGATCTGTATTCTTCTTCCAAACACAGAGAGAGTGGGAACAGAAAAATAATAAAGCCAAATGAATCAAGGGTTTTTGTGTTGTTGTTGAAAGAGTATGAGTGGAATTTTTCGCATTACCTGAATTCCTTTGATCTGTCCTGTCCGTGTGATAGCAGGAGGAGGAGCAGGGGAGGCTCCTGTGGCCACGGTGCATTCCTGCGCTGCGCCTTGCGGGTACCCGTGGGGGGTTGGGGGGTGGAGACGCCGAGCGGTGCCCGGGAGAGGCGCTCCCCGCCGGCAGGGAGCACAGAGACCAGCGGGGCCACGGGCATCGTGGAAATAATAAAACTCGTCTCCTCGAGCTCACGACCCACGCTCGCAGCCTGACACTGAATTACAGCCCTCACATTAGCAGAAGTGCTCAGTTTCATAATAATTATCATAATTTGCGGCATCTCGTTTGCCAAGTTTGTATAACCTTAATCGGTTCGATAACTTTAGGAACCCATGTAGAACAGGGAGGGGGAAATGCAAACTCTACGCAGAAAGGCGCCCGTGTCAGGAATCGAACCCAGGTTGCTTCTTGCTGCGAGACACACGAGCTACTACGCCGCCGCCCACGATTGGCGCGAAGGGATATTCGTGATGCGGGTTGCGCTCTTACTTTGGCCCTGGCCGAGCACGGGCGTAGGGATGTGAGCCATGACGAGGTGGCGGTGGTGGTGGTGGCACGGTGGTGGTGGTGGTGGCACGGTGGTGGTGGCACAGTGGTGCTGTACCACCCCAGCCGACCCTCCAGCGGCAAAGAGCCAACAAAGCCCCCTCGGCTGCACGCGAGAAGGCAGATCGCCTCGTGGCCGTGTCCCGCGGACGCTTGAGAGGGCGGCGAGCAGCGCGCCTGGTGGGTGGGTTGGTGGGTGGGTGGGTAGCCTGGTGGGTGGGTGGATTGGTGGGTGGGTAGGTTGGTGGGTGGGTTTGTAGGTTGGTGGGTGGGTAGGTTGGTGTGTGGGTGAGTAGGTTGGTGGGTGGGTGGGTGGGTTGGTGGGTAGGTTGGTGGGTGGGTTGGTTGGTTGGTGGGTGGGTGAGTAGCCTGGTGGGTGGATAGGTTGGTAGGTGGGTGGGTAGCCTGGTAGGTGGGTTGGTGGGTGGGTTGGTGGGTGGTTTGGTTGGTGGGTGGGTAGCCTGGTGGGTGGATAGGTTGGTAGGTGAGTGGGTAGCCTGGTAGGTGGGTTGGTGGGTGGGTGGGTTGGTGGGTGGGTTGGTTGGTGGGTGGGTTGGTTGGTGGGTGGGTTGGTAGCCTGGTGGGTGGATAGGTTCGTAGGTGGGTCTGTAGCCTGGTGGGTGGGTTGGTGGGTGGGTTGGTGGGTGCACGGGCAAGGCGGGCGCGAGCCATGTGCGCACGCGCGCCGTTTAATTTGCCGAGGCGCGCGCGCTCGCGGTGATGTTTGTTTGGGTTGCCGCACCTGCAGGTGGCTACGGCCCCGCGGGACTCCGATGTCTTCACCTGCGCAGGTGAAGTAGCATCAGTGCTGCTTGGATTCTCCTCCCCGCTTTACCCCCTGCCTTTACACCGCTGTGGGTGTTTAAGGAGAAACGACCTGTGCTTCCTTTTAACAATAACAACAACCGCCACCAACTCAACACATCCTTCGGTTACAATGTAGCTATTAAAGGGAGAGTTTAGAATCAATGGATGTTTATTTGTTACACGCAAAGTCGCGTTTAGCCAGCTCTCTCTCTTTTTGGTTGTTTGGGCGGGGAGAGGACGGTGGTGTTCCTAAGGCCTTGGCTTCCGAGAGTCGGGATGACTGAGAGATGGAAGAGCTACACCGCGGTGGTTATCTGGTAAGGACACGAATTCAAACATATTTTCTGGAAATTGCCTAAGAAAGATGGAATACAGGCAAATACAGGAAGAAAGGTGTAACCATTAGGACAACCTGTATAGAAATGCACGACTGGTAATGATGAAAGAACTCAGCAAAGAAGGCTGCAAAGTGGGAAGGTGACAAAAGTGGCGTATAACAAGATTGCTGAACAAATAAAATAATTATTGAAAGCAGACCAGGTTCAAAATAATGGTACAGTACAAATAGGACTGTGAATGTTTACTCAAGGACGGCTGATTCTGTGTGCGTTTGAGGTCAAATAGACAGCCTCCAACTTAGACACATGCGTGTCAACGCATACACATCCACGCAAGCTCACCACCCACTCAAACTCTCGTTCAGTCACCGGCTAACGTACACTCGCACACAAGCTCACATTGAATCACACACGCGAATGCTCAGCTCCTCACACACACACACTCGCCCGCTCGCGCACACACACACACGGACACGGGCAAACACACACGACAAAGATCCCCCGTGTAGCCTTCACAGACTGTAGGGGCAAGTGCTGTTAGCGAGCACCTATAAATGCCGGCACGGCACACAAAGGGGGTGGGTGGCCAACACCACGCCTGGCCGCCTTTGTCTCCCTAGTGGCGATTTTTACACATCGCACCAGGTACTCACTTGAGGCTGAGTCGACCTAGGAGAGGCCCAGGACCGATTCAGATAATCGTCACCGGTGTTGGCCGTGAGCGGAAATCGAACCCGGGTCGCCAGGTTCGTAGCGTAGCGCGCTAACTGCTACACCACCGCTCCCCACTGCACACAGATACGGACACAGGCACACACACAGACACACACAGACACACACACACATTTAATTTAGGCTATCCACACACGAGCAGCTGGGTTCGGGGTCAGATGCCCGTGCGGCGTGGCTGTCAGGGCCCGTTCGGCGCGGCGCTCCGCGTTGTTTGAACTTCAAGGATTTCTCCGACTCGGCAGACCTCCGACTCTCTTTCATGTCGCTCCTGTTGCGAGCCGCCTGTGGAACGGGGACCCTCATCAGAGCAGCTCGCAGGCAGCGGTCCACAGTGGAGGTGCCAGCACGGGCGACGGGATTCCGCCTCGCAAGCCACGGTCACCGCGCTGCCCTCTGAACCCGGCGGCCAGAGTTGGGTTCCCGGCCACGGCTACCGTCGGCGGCTCTCTCCCTCTTCCCCAACTCGCACGGACCAGGGTGCTCTTCTGCTCTCGTACGGCCGCTGGAGTCGATGCAGAGCAGCGACTCCAATTCCACATTCAGGCGGTCAAGAGCAGGTCGCCGCGCGAGGAGCAGCGGAGTGCGCCGTCGCTCTGATGTCACCTTCGTATTTGGGGATGGGGGCATTGCGTCGTGACACGTCGTACGATTTGCTCTGGATGACCACAGTCGCACGCTGGAGAGTTTTTAATTTTCCATTTGTGCATCAGGCACAAATTGTGGTGAAGTATGGTCAATCAACCCACGTGCCTGACGTGGCGTGGGGAGGCTTTCGTCCAGTAGTGGATTGGCAAAGGACTGTACGTTAGACATGATATATTGCAGGTCCCGGAGTGTGGAGATACCTAAGAGGGTTAATGTAAACATGCGTGAGGCGTGTTGATGGCTAGTGAAGTCTAATACCACACATACCAGCGTGCTGAGCCCGCACCGCTGAGATTCGGAGGTCTGGATTTCAATCACCCGCGATTAACAAGGGTGCTCCGGTGTTATGAGTTAATGGTTTTGGCCGGGTTACCAAAATACAAAAAACAAACACAATGAATTCCATTTCACTTAATGCACCGATTTATTTCAAGCCCCGAGAATTGCAGAATGTTTGGTTTTGATCTTCTTGTGGCAACCATCTCGACTCCAGCAGAGCCACGTGACGAGGTTACTCCGCGTGTAGATCGGCAATGATGTCCGACGTTTCGCACCACGTGCCGAGAGCTTCTCCAGGAACTGATTCAACGGATGATTGCAAGAGATTTATACAGTACAACCGCAGCTGTGCTGTTGTTGTACTGTGGTTGTACTGTAGCTACCCCAGTTGTACTGTGGTGGAAATTATGGAGCTAATTTCTTTACTTTACCTCCAACTCTATCCACCAATGGGCGCATCAAAGTCGATCGGCAGACCGCGTGTGGTCGTGTTGAAGTGTGGGTATTTCCACCTCTCACAAGACATCTGGCCAGCGTGGAAGAGTAGACCAAACACCCTCTAGAGGGGCCTCTCGAGAGCTCCCTCTCGTGGCGGCCCAGCAGCGGCGCGAGTGAGCACTTGCAGGACTGCGCTTTTAAATTCTGTATAACACAACTGCACAGCTGACAAAAACCTACGCAACGGGATGTAAACTAAAGTATGTAAACTCTACTCTTTGGTTCTTTCGGTAAAGTCACGTATATTATTTCACCCGGTAAGGTCCACTGAGTTATGTAGCTGTTTTTCAGAGGCTATCTGCCAACAAATGATAGCTCAACAAAGTGGCTTATCACGTGGAAATTTCTAGCAGCCAATTATTACGAATGCATGTTGAGTTTAAATGTGGGGGGAGAAAAATCCACGCGACCACGGGGAGAATATGCAAACTCCAAATAAACAGGCGTCAGGGTCGTGGTCGAACCTACGACTCTCTTGCATACCAGGCGAGGTAGTTAACATCTCGCCACCGTGACAAGGTACACAACGGAGTGTGGATAAGAGACCAAAGTAGCTGCCCTCTGTCTCTACCCCTCACCCTGCAGGGCTGCAGAGCTCCGCGCAGAGCTAATAGGCTGCAGCAGAGTAATTGCTCTCCGCTGCACGCGGTGCTGATATTAATTACAGGGGCACTTATGGGCAATTAAGCTGCGGGTAGCACAGACTCCAGCCTTTATTCAGTGGGGCCACGGGCGAATGCGTTGAGCAAACTCAGAACTTTTCCCTGGGCTTCTCAATGTCAACGCGCGTAATGTTTGTGTACGTGCGTGTGTACGTGCGTGTGTGCGTGTGTGTGTGTGGGGAGCGGTAGTGTAGTGGTTAGCGCTACGCTGCGCTACGTACCTGGCGACACGGGTTCGGTTCTCGCTCACGGCCAACACCGGTGACGATTATCTGACACCGGTCCTGGGCCTCCCCTAGGTCGACTCAGCCTCCAATGAGTACCTGGTGCGATGTGTAAACATCGCCACTAGAGAGACAAAGGCGGCCGGGCGTGGTGTTGGCCACTCACCCCCTCGTGTGCCGTGCCGGCCTTTATAGGTGCTCGCTAACAGCACTTGCCCCTACAGTTTGTTAAGGCTATACGGGGGATCTTTGTCTTTGTGTGTGCGTGTGAGCGGTGGCACAGTGGTTAGTGCCGACTGCGCTACGAACCCGGCCACCCGAAATCGCTTCCCGCTCACGGTTACCAACCCCAGTGACGATTATCTGATACGGTCCTGGGCCTCCCCTAGGTCGACTCAGCCTCAAATGAGTACCTCGTGTGGTGTGTAAACATCGCCACTAGGGAAACAAAGGCGGCCGGGCGTGGTGCTAGCCACCCATCTCGTCGTGTGCTGTGCCGGCCTCCATAGGTGCTGCTCACGAACATCACTTGTCGCAAAAGTCTGTTGAGGCTATACGGGGGTCTTTGTCCTTGTGTGTGGCTGTGAGAGAGATCAGGCTGCACGCTTAAGTCAGCATGAGAAAGTGTTTCAGGTTCCCTGCAGGACGATTTGGAGAAACCGTTTATACCGAGAGAATATAAAACTAGAAACTATTAAACTACTTTTTTTTGGAGCAGGTAAGGCCCACTGAGCTGTATAGCTCTTTTTTTAAATCACAAATTAAAGCTCCAGGCAGTGGCTTCTCATGTGGCAATTATAACAGCCAAATGCCCTTAAACACATGTTTATAAATGTGGAGGAAAAAACCCGGAGAGAGACAGGCAAGCGGTCGGGATTGAAACCCACGACCTCCTGTATACCAGGCGAGGGAGTTAACATCTCGCCACCATGGCGCCCCACGACGTCTTCGCTAAGCCGTGAGCCCTGGTTCAAAATCACAGACGCAGTAAATTCAGGAGCAGCCACATTAAAAGTTCGCCTTATTATTATTATTCTTACGAATGTTTGAGTGCAGATTTAGCTAAGTTTTTTTTTTGCTCACTTCAGACCCCAGGGGCTTTAAATCTTGTCTCGACAAATACCCCACTCGATCCCCTGGGGGGGGGGAGGGGGTTGTTTCGCTATTTATCATGGTTGCTTGAGCGCAGGGCTCCAAAACGCCAAGCGGTCGGCAATAAACAGCACGACTGAAGGTGTAATATGTATCGTGTCTCGAAGTGAGCCAACGCTGTTTAAGGCGCTTGTGGGAAAAGAGACGCTGGGAATAGAATCGTAAAGTGAAGCAGTGCTAGGGAAGATGCAGAAAGAAAAGTGAGGTGGCCTGCAGTGTGGTCAGTAGTGGTGGTGGCGGTGGTGGTTGAAGAGTGTGGATGAGACTAAACGGTCATCCTGGTAGACTGGGTCCTCAACATTGGTGGAGGAATCACGTGAACTGTGAAGTTCATGTGAACAGTAACCATGGCAGGAGCAAAACAAAAGTGGCACGGAGGTGACTCTCCGCCGGTGGAGTGAGTGAGCGGAGTGAATTCGTGAGTGCTGGATCATCTCGACAGCTCACTGCTTCACACCGATATAAATACACTCTCTTTGGCACATCCGATAACTAAAAAAAGTGTTGACATTGCACGAGAGGGTCTCTCTGGAGGAAGTCGATGCATTCATTTGTCGAGGCAGGGCAGGCCTCGACAAATGATTTAATGGACGGCCATTCCAAGGGAGTGGTCAATAATTTACCTGCTTTCTCCAGACGGCCACGTAACCAGCCCGCGTGGAATCGTAAAGAGGCCCTCTCTCGAGAGCCAGAAGCTGTCCCAGCTCCAGAAGGATGGAGCTGTTTACAGATGGCAGGAACGCAGCGGTGGGGTTGGAGAGAGAGGGAGAGAGTCAGGGAGGGAGTGGGAGATACAAATAAACATCAGCTGCGATGTTGCTTCGGTGCCACGTTCCTTAATTTTCTCAATAATTTGTTGGCGCGTTGCGCATATTTTCTGGACAGGCCGTGAGTGGGAGGAGGTGGCGATGCAGCGTGTCGGGCTACGAACTCCCTGGATGATACCGCTGCCTCCACACTCGCGCCGGTCCACACTCCACAGCCCCGGCTGCAGATAATCATGACGGGCACACTCACTCACTCACACACACGTATCCCTGTAATAATAATACTAATAATCAGTATCAGGATATTTGTTTACACCGGAGGAATCCGATGAGCTATTAAGCTCCTTTTCACAGATGTCCAGTTATAACAGTGCTGAGCATGTGTGCATGGTGTCATTCGTTTAAACTCACTGGGCACATACGTAGCGGTTCGACCTGCAGCGATTCATTCGGTAAGTTGGCACGATTCCGGGGTTGCCGTTCGATGCCAGAATCTCTGCGCAGTTGCACCGCCTGCACACTCGACAGCTACACCACTGGGACACCTCTCCGCGTTGGCTATAGCCCACTGCGTGGTCCTGTCGAGTGCTTGCTGCCCCTGTCGCATGCAGATCAGAATGAGTGCGAGTGTGCTGCTACTGTATGCGCGTGTGTGTGAGAGGGGGGAGCGATGGCACAGTAGTCAGCGCATTGCTCGGCCATGAACCCGGATGCTTGAATAACCATTCCCGCTCAAGGGCCAACATTCGCGAGGACATATTTGAACCGGTCGTGGACATCCCCTAGGTCAGCTCAGCCTGAAATTAGCCATTGGTGCAGTATGTAAATATTGGCATTGGGGAGACAAAAGCGGTGGGGAGGTGTGTTGACCACACCATCCCTCGTGTTACACGTGGCGCTCACGCACAGAACTTGCCCCTGCAGTCTGTGCAAGCTGTATATATATGAAGGACCTTTACCTTTGTGAATGTGTGTGGATGAGAAGGGCAACTCCTCCATGACGATGTTGCCATCGCCGAGGACGGAGGAATCGGGCTCGGCGGGAAGATGGGGCGACAGGTGGTCGCGAGAGCGGGCGAGCGGTCGGAGCCATCCCGAGGGCCGCGTCTCGCGTCGGCAGAGCGCGGGACGTGTCACGGGTCCAAGTCCACGGGGCAGCGCTGCCCCCTTGGCACTCGCCAGCCAGCGAGGGTGGCGCCTCTCGAAGGCGACGGCCAAAGAGAGAGAAACAAATAAGGAAGAGCGAATACCGAGGGGTGGTGGGTGGGTGTTGTGGTGGTGGTGGTGGGAGATGATCAATCACGGGAGCAAGCGACGTTCCGCAGGGCGAAGCGTCCGCGTTGACGGCGGCTCCTCCACTCGCTCACCGCACTCATCTCCCACTCCCTCTCGCAAGACGCGGCTCAGAGTGTACGGTGCGTACGAGGCGGGGGCTCTTCAAGTCCGGGCCGGCCAGGAGTCGCTCGAAGCCCACGACTGAATGCCAACTGGCCTCCCCCTGACCCCCCCCCCTGACCCCCCCCCCCCCTTCATTCCATTATCCACAGGCCGCGTCGTGGGTGCCGTTGTTGAGAACCGGAGGGAAAGTGCCACCGTTGTACTCCTCATTTCCACGGCTCTTATAACCGTTCTCATTTCGAGACACGTATCTCCTCCTACCGTGTGTATGTTCAACTTGCTTTCGCGTCCGTACTTTGCCAATCGTGCGAAATCGGAGGTGCCGGATCACGATCACGACAACGTTGACGGCGATGTAGTAATAGGTGTTTACCCTTTTACCTGCCAACAAAACTGACACCTTTATACAAGGGATCATGTTTGCATTAACCACAACACTTGTGGTCAAAATGCAAACAAAAAGACAGCTCTGATAATGTATGCACTGTCCTTGAAATTGATTGGTCCACACCCGAGACAGCTTTTCTTAGAGCCTAGTCTCACATGGTGTTGGACCAGATGACGCCAAAAGGCGCACAACTCAAAGACAACGCACCACCGCCTTTTCGCTGAGCAATGTGACCAACCACCATCACCAGACACCAACAGGAGGCATCCGTGGGGCTACCACCTCCGAGGTACAAAAGAAACGGGACACATCGTGGTAGGAAGAATAATATCTCGCTCTGCGGAGAACTGCGCTCAAACGCATTGTTTTAAGTGGTGGATTATTTCATGACTGACAAAAAAAACAGGACTTTTAATCTCTCGGCAAGACTTGCAGATTGGATAGCGGCTACCTCCAATAGAGGATGATCTTGGGGAAACCAGAACCGGTGGCAACGCTATCAGAATCTGAATATGTATTATTACGTGAGGAATCCGATGAGCTAAAAAGCTCTTTTTCACAGATGACCAGTAATTCACAGATGTTCAGTAATGATGTCCAACTCTAGGCAGCATGCAAAATGTGGTGCCATTGCTGCCAATGTGATTTTCTTGACCTGGGAGCGGAGCGACTCATTCTGTGATCCATTGCTTTGGAGGCAAGGGATGGTAGGCCTGGACTGCATGGTGGCCAGGAGACGCGAGTACAGCAAGGGGGTTCATGGACCCATCTGTGCAGATAGTAGAGTCTTACCCCCTCGTATGCGTGGGGCGGTTTTCTCCGTGTTCTCTGGATTCATCCCACACAAAGCGAATCACCCCTTGTACGGAATCGGCGAAGCATCACATTGCAAGACCCTCCTAACGAAAATGTCTCCACTAAAAAAAAAAAGCATTATTGTTATTTTAAGATTACACATTGCACACGAAAGCACAAACTATAACTGTAAACAACGTGCGTCTATGTAAACACCCAGAGCTGTTGAGATAAAAAATAAAACAAGTGATCGTGCTTATATGGCTGTGATGAATTCGTTTCACTGTCCCACCCCTTGTGCCATTCATCTTCGAAAGTCGCGCGCGGAGAAATGAACTGGCCGTATTCTCCAGGGCCATTCGCAGCCTCTCACTCACATTCAAGTTATCTCTCTGTTGCTCTTGGAGTCTGTGCGGCCGGGAGCTGCTGTGTGTCAGAGTACGCGCGGAAGGTCACGGTGGCCCGTTTGTTCCGGGCAAAAGTCCCCTCCGTCTCGGCGAGCGAGCGCCGTCGTCCCATCGTCTCCCCCACTGGGTGCGAACGCCGCGTTATGTCCCCTCGGGTGGCAGACGGTGGGTGTCTGGAACGCCACGTGTGAACACGGAGCAGACGCACGCTGGGCGGACACTTTCTCAGCACGGATAGCTGCGTGGGATTCTGTTCAGTTGTGTCGATTTTCGTGGAAGGCCGATCATAAACGAAACGATAACAGTCCCCACTGCGTAAACGCGGGCCGAATGCATTGTACAATTATGTAATGCCGTGTATTTGTAAGTCCCTGGAATATTTATCGAGAGAGTCCTGCATTGAGTAGAGTACAACATACCGATGGGCTCTCGTGAGCTTCCTCGATTGTCGGGATTTCAGACCGCAGTGGAGTGAGCAAGGCATTTCACATCCGCACTTTTACCTTTATCTGCATTGAGACGTTTAGACAATTTCACGTTTGACTTCACAGGTGGCAATAACACGAGAGTGCCCAGAGAAACCCCAACATGCGTAAGGAGAAAAAAAACACGCGGTGATCTGCACACGTCGATTTGCGAACCCACTTGCTCCGCTGCCATCTCGTGAGCACCTCGCGGGCCAGCGGCTGTGGGAGTTCCACAAATTCCTCCGTGAGCCGCAAACCCCTCGCCTGCAAAGTGCCGGATCGCAGGCGTGGGTCCGTACGTGCGCCATCATGCCCGGCTCGTATATCGACGCGTCTGCATAGCATCATCACATCTGAGATGTGATTTAGATTTGTTTTAATGTAATAGAAAAAAACACACTGTCAGAGTTGTTGTGCCCCGGGGTTTTAACGCGAATTGCATTCATGGCTTAGTCTGCACGCAACCTGCAATAATCTGCGAGTCAATCTCAGCCACGAGTCGCCCACAGCTCCACACGAGAGGCACACGAGGAACGCTGTGGCGAGAATGGATCGTGGAGAAACGTTCGATACGAGCAACGGTGCCCACAAATTATCCCATTTCGTCAAACTGCGAAATGCTAATCATGTTTTTGAACCTGGCAAGTACTTTAGTGGGCGGCCATCTGGGAATGCGAGAATGCTCGGTGTGGCAGGCTCGGGCTACGAGGTGACCAGCCGCTGGTATTGAAGCTACGGATTCTGGCTTCAATCTGCGTGAGGTGTTGCGTGGGCGAGTCTTTTACGCGTGTCAACAACAACAAAAAACCACTCGTTCATTAAATTGGCCGCGCATCTTCTCGCCGGTGCAGGCTGAGGCGGGTGAAGACGACGTGGGGGGGGGGGGGGCGATGTTGCTGATGGCTGAGGATGCGATGGGAGACGACGCGATGGGTGCGGATGAGTCCAGTCGGTGGCACCGTGGCGGTGCCGCGATGGCGCGTCCGCGGGTGTTGCGGTGCGATGGGTTGGTTCGATGTGTCGGGCGACACACAGCGCTCTGCTTGTCGGAGCCTGCGCGGGTGAGATGAGAGAGAGAGTAAGGCCGCGTCTGTGCGTGGAGCACGATCTCTCCGCACCCTCCCCACCACGTCCGAGTTGGACAAGCGCCATCAGTTCCCCTGCGGAACCCAGCGAGCGCAGGAGGTCAACATGGGATGAATGCGTTGAATTTTGCGGTTCCGCGCGCGCGGTGTGGGCAATCGCAGCTCGACCCCCCCCCCCCCGCCCTCTTCCTGGCCCTCAAGAACAATCGGCCACCTTCACCGCGCCGCCGTCCGCGGAACTGCGGTGTAATCCATCCCACCCACCCACCCGGGCGTTTGCTCGCTCGCTCGCACGGGAGCCGCAACGCCGCGCTCAAGGCCCTGCTCTGTGAGCGTGCTTCTCTCGTGAACGTGCGGCGAGCCGCCGAGATGTCGTTGTTTTTGTTCGTCCCGGTGAAGCGTCTTGCGACACGTGCGCAGAGGGGTGGTCGTGGTGGAGGTGGAGGGCTCCCGCCGCGTTTATTTCGCAGCAGTTCCACCCCCTCCCCCGCCCTGCACAAGCATCCGAAAGAGAAATAACAGATAGGCTTCCGTTCCGCACCCCCCCCCCCCCCCCCCGCATAAAAGTGTAAATATGTTTTTCAGCCGAGTGGCCTTTTGGCCTCGACTTATGTAAGGTGCCGGTATTTGCTCTGAACGCGCTGGCTCTGGATGAGTTTTCTCGCGTCTCGGTTTCATCAGCGGCCGGGCTCGCGAAGCACAACGCAGGCAACATTACTATGCATCGATGGCAGCTCTGATGGTGACGATGATCCCGCACCTCCGATTAGCACGGTTGGCTACGTACGGTGCGAAAGAAGTTCAACAGACACACTTGATGAAGATGACGTCGATGATGACAAAGCAAATGACGATGACATCAAAATTAAATCGTGACGATGCCAGCGACGATGACGACTAAGATGATGAACCAGCAGATGTTGGGGCGGCCAGCCGAGGGCACGCTGTGTGTGAGCCGGAGCCCGACCGTGGCCCACGGGATCCAGCCCGGAGCTCGCCACGAAGCCCTCGGCGTCCCCGCCTCGACCCGTGGGGCCACTCACGAAGCGGAGCAGCTCGTCGTCCCCCTCCTTGCGACTCGCAGATCTGGAACTCGTTGAGGCCCTTAGCGAGGGGCTGAGCTGCCTTTGTCGGTAATCGATCACAACCACGAGCGTGGCGCTCGCCACTCGCTTGCTAAGGTGGGAATGTGGCGGGGGGGCTCTCCCATCTCAAGCGCAGCTGAGGCCGTGAAGAGGTGAAGACGTGTAGACGTGAAGACGTCTAGACGTGTAGCAAAATTACTGTATCAAGTGAAGAGAGATCTAAGAGACAGGACCTTATATACTGGTTAAGGGGAGAAGGGAGGGGCCAGGATGGGCCGTGGGGGGGGGGGGTATCAGCTGGTGAGGTGACGACCTGTGTGCTGCAGCTGCAGACACGCCTGGAACTTTGTGATGTCGATGGCGGAAGTAGATAAGCGAGCTCGGATTAAGCCGCCTTTTGTTATGCTCGCCGGTGGGTTATATTCCAAAGCATGCAAGCAGTGTGTGGAAAGGTAAATAACTACTATGGCTGTACAATTATAAGGCAGCTAGAGTTTGGCTTGGTTGATGACATCGTTCCAATGATTTCTTAATTTTAAACCATTCTCTCGGTTGAAGTTGTGTCTATGTTTGTATATTTGGATGGCTTCATGGACAAATCTTTGGTGGTACCCGGGAGGTTTGCAGAGTACTTTGGTATCGGAGAAAACAATATCATGAGAACCGGCTGTGTTGTAGCAGTGGTCAGTTACTGCCGAAGAATTCGTTCTGCCGTGTTTCAAATCTGATTTGTGCTCGCGAATTCGGTCAGAAATATGTCGTTTCGTCTCCCCGATAAAGCAGTCACCGCAGGCACAACTCAATTTGTAAACACCGGGGTACTGTAAGTCAGGAATGACATCCTTCACGGATGGGATCTAGAAAGAGATAATGTAGTTACTACATCACGGATAATGTAGTCACTACACCACTGATAATGTAGTTACTACACCACTGATAATGTAGTTACTACACCACTGATAATGTAGTTACTACACCACTGATAATGTAGTTACTACACCACTTATAATGTAGTTACTACGCTACTGATAATGTAGCTACTACGCCACTGATAATGTAGTTACTACATCACTGATAATGGAGTTACTACGCCACTGATCATATAGTCACTATACCACTGATAATGGAGTTACTACACCACTGATAATGTAGTTACTACATCACTGATAATGTAGTTACTACACCACTGATAATGTAGTTACTACACAACTGATAATTGAGTTACTACACCACTGATAATGTAGTTACTACACCACTGATAATGGAGTTACTACGCCACTGATAATGTAGTTACTACACCACTGATAATATAGTCACTACACCACTGATAATGGAATTACTACACCACTGATAATGTAGTTACTACGCCACTGATAATATAGTCACTACACCACTGATAATGTAGTCACTACACCACTGATAATGTAGTCACTACACCACTGATAATGTAGTCACTACACCACTGATAATATAGTCACTACACCACTGATAATGTAGTCACTACACCACTGATAATGGAATTACTACACCACTGATAATGTAGTCACTACACCACTGATAATGTAGTCACTACGCCACTGATAATGTAGTTACTACACCACTGATAATGGAGTTACTACACCACTGATAATGTAGTCACTACACCACTGATAATGTAGTCACTACACCACTGATAATGGAATTACTACACCACTGATAATGTAGTCACTACACCACTGATAATGTAGTCACTACGCCACTGATAATGTAGTTACTACACCACTGATAATGGAATTACTACACCACTGATAATGGAATTACTACACCACTGATAATGTAGTCACTACACCACTGATAATGTAGTCACTACGCCACTGATAATGTAGTTACTACACCACCGATAATGTAGTCACTACACCACTGATAATGGAGTTACTACGCCACTGATAATATAGTCACTACACCACTGATAATGTAGTCACTATACCACTGATAATGTAGTTACTACACCACTGATAATGTAGTTATTACACCACTGATAATGTAGTTACTACACAACTGATAATGGAGTTACTACACCACTGATAATGTAGTTACTACACCACTGATAATGGAGTTACTACGCCACTGATAATGTAGCTACTACACCACTGATAATATAGTCACTACACCACTGATAATGGAATTACTACACCACTGATAATGTAGTTACTACGCCACTGATAATATAGTCACTACACCACTGATAATGGAATTACTACACCACTGATAATGTAGTCACTACACCACTGATAATGTAGCTACTACACCACTGATAATATAGTCACTACACCACTGATAATGGAATTACTACACCACTGATAATGTAGTTACTACGCCACTGATAATATAGTCACTACACCACTGATAATGGAATTACTACACCACTGATAATGTAGTCACTACGCCACTGATAATGTAGTTACTACAGCACTGATAATGTAGTTACTACACCACTGATAATGTAGTCACTACGCCACTGATAATGTAGTTACTACAGCACTGATAATGGAGTTACTACACCACTGATAATGTAGTCACTACGCCACTGATAATGTAGTTACTACAGCACTGATAGTGTAGTTACTACACCACTGGTAATGTAGTTACTACACCACTGATAATGTAGTCACTACGACCACTGATAATGTAGTCACTACGTCACTGATAATGTAGTTACTACACCACTGATAATGTAGTTACTACACCACTGATAATGTAGTTACTACACCACTGATAATGTAGTCACTACGTCACTGATAATGTACTGAGGACACTCACTCGACGGGATCTCCTCCCTTAGCCAGTGGTGGAGATTCCACGTTGCTGTGGCGGGGGTGTGGGGGCGAGACCCTCCATGGCAGAGCCACTGTGGACTTCCCCACAAAGTGGTCCTGATTTAGATGACCCCTCCCGAGGAAGGGATGATGGGCTGGGTCAACGCTTAACCAAGATTTGAACGTGCGACCTTGCAATAGCCAGCCGCTCGCTCTACCGCTGAGCCACCAGCCATGATCTACCCACTGCTCGATGAACGGCCTCCCCACGGCGTCACGGGTTTGAGGTGCCACCACACACCCACACACACATTGCACCGACAAAAAAAGCAAAGACACCCCGGGGTAGTCTTTAACAAGCTGTTGGGCAAGTGCTGTTAACGCGTGTGGGGGGGAGGTCGGTGTGGCCAGCACCACACCCGGCCGCCTTTGTCTTCCCAGTGCTGATGTTGACAGACCTCACTATAGCTACTTATTTAAGGCTGAGTCGACTCTGAAGCCCTTCTGCTATCCGTGCGCTAATCCTTAAGGCGCCGCTCCCCCACTCACGTCAACACAGACACGCACACACATGACATACAAAAACAAAGATCCGCCATACTAGCCCACACGGGCTGTTCCGGCAAGTGCTGTTAGCGAGCATCTGTGAAGGCCGGTACGACACACGATGGTGTGGTGACGCAAACACCACCCCAGTCGCCTTTGTCTCCCCAGTGCTGATGTTTACACACCACACCAGGTACTTATTTCAGGCTGAGTCGACCTAGGGGAGGCCTCAGGACCGGATCAGAAAATCGTCACCGATAGCGCAGCGCGCTAACAACTGCGCCACCGCTCCCGATACCAACACACATAAACAGACGCACGAAAACATACACACACATACACACATATACATATACACACATGCACACACATACACACACACATACACATACATATAAACACATGCACACACATACATACACAAATACACACACATGCACACACATACACACATACACACACAGACACACACATGCACACACACATACACACACATACACATACATACACACACATACACACATACACACACATACACACATACACACACATACACACATACATACACACACATACATACACATACACACACACATACACACACACATACACACACATACACACACATACACACACGCACACACATGCACACACATACACACACACATACACACACGTGTTTGTTTCTGCAGTGGCTTGTACCGCCGGCTGGCCGCGAGTCTCTCTCGAGACCCCACCACCACCACCATCATCCCTCCCGCGTGTGCCTCTCTCTCTCTGTCCCTGAGGCTCTCTGCTTGCTGCTCGCTCCCTTTCCCACACTCGCCAGCGAGCACCCTCCCTGCCCCTCCCCTCCCTCCCTCCCTCACCACCACCACCACCGCCGCCACGCGTGCTGGTGGTGACATCACCAGGCAGGCAACCACTGCTCAGGCTTGCTGGTGGCTGCGTGTCGCTTGGTGGGACGCGCCTTCAACGCAGCTCCTTCTCGCAGCCGACCGAGCTCCACCGCACACACTCGCAGCGGACGGGGGCCCGCGCAGCGAGAGGGAGGAGGAGGAGGAGGGGGAAGACGAATTCTCGCTAAAGTAGCTGAGACCCCCAAAACAACTGCCGCGCCAGGAGAGAGCGGCCCCCCTCACACCAAGGGGACCCCGTCGCCTGCACCTGAGACCCCCCCCCCCCCCTCTGCCACCCGTGCCGACCTTGACTCACCCGGCCAGGCTACCGTGACCGCCTTGCTGGCACACGGCACCTGCGAACCCACGGGTTGGTGGTGGACCTCCTGGCACCACCCTGAAGCCGGGCCACGCCAACGCAGCCCTCGGGGCGCGCCTCTGGGGCGGCCCGGAGCAATGCGCCGTCGCCCGCACCTGCAGGGAGCGCTGCTGCTGCTCCACGCGTGCGCGCAGGTGAGGGAGCGACCCAGGCGACGCGGACATCGAGACGCCGTATCACTCACCTCTGTTGGGTAAAGGTGGCCGTGCTGGCTACAGCTCGGAGCGCTGAGCGCTGCGCGCCAGCACTGCTGAGATCCACGGGGATTGAGCCGCTGCCCGTGATGGAAGCGGTGTTCACGTGTAGTGAGTTTTTGGTCTCAGCCCAGTTACCATCGGACTTATATAGATACTCATAGGCTCACATAGACACAAATAGACTCACATAGAGACACGTACACTCACATACAGACTAACAGACTTACACAGAGACCCATATATTCACACAGACTCCCATAGACTCACATAGACACACATCGACTCGCATAGAGACCCATAGACTAACACGGCAAGTTGACTGCACGCAGAAAAACATTAAATTCCTGCACTTAACTTGGCTGAATTCCAGCGCTGAGAATGAAATATTGGGTTTGACCGTCACACGAAGGACATTTCTCTCACACGCGGAGCGGGTGGGAATTAAAGTGCTTCCAACTTTAATTCCGAGCTCACTTGAAGAAGGAGTCTCAGAGGTAGCCGTAATACCTATGATAGAATACACCACTCGGAATGCGCCCGATCCCCGTCCAATCTCACAAGCTAAGCAGGGGTGAGCCTGGAGAGTGGTGGCTCTTGGATGGGTGGCCACCGTGCACAGGAGGTTTCTGCAGTCTGCGGTGCAGCACAATGCGCTGTTGCGCTCTACTTTGTTTTGCTCTCTCGCCCAAATGCTCGCCACCTTCACCGACCGGCGTGGTGAAGTATGGTCAGATAACCCCGGCGACTCGCAGGGCGCGCTGGAGAGAGGCCCTCATCCAGCAGTGAATTGACAATCGAGAGCTCCACTGGCGGAGCAGTGGAGGACTCAATTTTCTCCCACCTCTCTCGACGGCTTTACTGACTCTGCTGTTCGCATCCCGAGCGATTTCCTCCGTGGCACATTCCGGCGTGAGTTGCTATGCCGGGGAGATCATTTACTTTTACGAGGAGCAGTTAAACCTGGATGCGAGACCGCGTGCTGCTCTATCATTGCCTCTGTAACACCGATGGAAACACAACCCTAAAGCAGTTTACAGTGACCCATTTACAGATACGCCACTGATATTCCAATGCTCCTCCCTTTCTCACGTTCCTCTCTGCACATCATGAGACGGTAAAGCAAGGCAAGGCGGTCGATGTATCCACCCAGAGGTTGAGAGTGTTGAGAGTTCTCTCTTGACGAGCTTGGGTTTTCACCGGGCGTACAGAGTCCATCCTCCCGCACGCGAAAATACTCCGCAAGGAAAATCGTCCCAAGCATCCCAAGCCAGACCCTCCTGGTGAATATTTATGGTTCTTGAGACTCGGTGGGGCTTCTTCTTCCCGTGTGCCTCATTAAAGTTTCTGGGCGATTGCATTTCCACGGTGAATGAGTTCCCCTTTCAGAAACTCCATGTCCGGTGAGGTGGTTTGGGAGGGGGGCTACTGGAGGAGAGAGGGCGGTGGTGCGATCCGGACGACCACGAGGAGGAGGAGCAGCCACCCGCCGTGTTTGCTCGCACAGATTTGTCTCCGTGGAGGCGACAGAAGGAATTCCCGACAGCAACGCAGCAACAACAACAAAAACACCCCCCACGTCTCCTCTGGCGACAGCTCCGTCCACTTGCCAGGCGTCACTTGTGGGCCTCGCTTCATTGTTTGGCCATTATTCGATCGTGGGAAAAGGCGACAGCGCCGCTTGTGATTCCGAAACAAAAGTCGCGAGTGACTTCCTGCTCAAGTGAACATTACGACGGCGCTCATCTCCTGTTTGCAGCCCTCGGCGAGGAGCGGAAATTACACATTCCTATGGCCGGGGGCGAGTCTCTCCAAAGGACAACCGCCGTCCTTCTCCACAAAGTGGCGCAGTGGTTAGCGCGCCGCGCTCTGTGAACCCCGACGACCCGAGCTAACGATTCCCGCTCACGACCACCACCAGTGACGATTCTCTGGGCATAGACTAAGTCCACTCAGCCTCAAATGATGACCTGGTGCGGTGCTTAAAAACATTGCCACTTGGGAGACGAAAAAGTGTGGCCGGGCGTAGTGCTGGCCACCCAACTCCTCGTACACCGGCGCCCCAACAGTAGTGTGGAGAAGAATGTGGATGTGGGGTCAACACTGTAATATCGTCGTCTTGTTTGTCTTCGTCTACAGGTGTGGCCCAATGTCGCTGCCGGGCAGGCGGTGGGGGGGGCTTTGCCGGCAGCAGCAGCAGCGGCAGCGGCGGCGGCGTCGGCGCTTCGTCGCCCGTACTGCGAGTGGCCGTGCCGCTGCGCGCAGGGGGAGCCGCGCTGCCCCGTCGGGGTGAGCGCGGCGCTCGACGGCTGCGGCTGCTGCCGCGTGTGCGCCAGGCAGCCGGGCGACGTGTGCACGGAGGCGGACACGTGCGACCCTCACAAGGACCTCTACTGTGACTACTCGGGGGACAGCCCGAGGTATGAGATAGGAGTGTGCGCACGTAAGTGTCCCGCCCACCCCCTGCCCTACCGCCCGACTCGCGCGCCAGACGGGGGGTTTGAATGAAGCGTCGGTCAGGGGACGTGGTGGGTGGGGGGGAAGTAGCAGTTTCACGATTGAGAAATATTCCTATTGTCCCAGTGAGCGTAGCTAGTGTGGGGGGTAGGGGGTGACTTGCCCCCCCCCGCAAAGATACGAACTGGGCCCCCCTTGACGACCACCATGAGATACGTTTTTAACAACAGTGTCAAAGAACAACAACTTGTTTTAAACGCAGTGCCCCTACTGCGTTAAATATTTGAGACTGTGAGCGTAACGAAGCGATTAGGTAAAGAGGAGCCGCGACATAGAATAGCCTCGGTGCGACCGCGCGAGACAAATGCACAATGTTGGGGCCCCAAATGAGCGATTGCCGCACCCCCTGAGATGATAATGTAGTTACTACGCCACTGATAATGTAGTTACTACGCCACTGATAATGTAGTTACTACGCCACTGATAATGTAGTTACTACACCACTGATAATGTAGTTACACCACTGATAATGTAGTTACTACGCCACTGATAATGTAGTTACTACGCCACTGATAATGTAGTTACTACGCCACTGATAATGTAGCTACTACACCACTGGTAATGTAGTTACTACGCCACTGATAATGTAGTTACTACACCACTGATAATGTAGTCACTACGCCACTGATTATGTAGTTACTACGCCACTGATAAAGTAGTTACTACGTCACTGATAATGTAGTTACTACACCACTAATAATGTAGTTACTACGTCACTGATAATGTAGTTACTACACCACTGATAAGGTGTAGTTACTACACCACTGATAATGTAGTTACTACGCCACTGATAATGTAGTTACTACACCACTGATAATGTAGTTACTACGCCACTGATAATGTAGTTACTACACCACTGATGTCACTACGCCACTGATAATGTAGTTACTACGCCACTGATAATGTAGTTACTACACCACTGATAATGTAGTTACTACGCCACTGATAATGTAGTTACTACACCACTGATAATGTAGTTACTACGCCACTGATAATGTAGTTACTACAGCACTGATAATGTAGTTACTGCGCCAGATGAATCCCTGCAGTCACGAAAGCTTTAAATCGAAATTTAACCGCCTCTACGGGGAGCGTTTCCACATAACTTTGAGATCCTTCAACAAGCTCCTGCGGCTCCTTGCGTTGTGGCCGAAACGTCGTGAGAATTGTTTTATTATGTTTTATTTGTATTATTTTATTACTTCCCTTCTACGTGACTTTACCGAAAGAACCAAGAAGATGAATCCCTGCAGTCACGAAAGCTTTAAATCGAAATGTAGTTACTACACCACTGATAATGTAGTTACTACACCACTGATGTCACTACGCCACTGATAATGTAGTTACTACACCACTGATAATGTAGTTACTACACCACTGATAATGTAGTTACTACGCCACTGATAATGTAGTTACTACGCCACTTATAATGTAGTTACTACGCCACTGATAATGTAGTTACTACACCACTGATGTCACTACGCCAGCGTTTTGTCCATGTCTGTTCCCCCCACTCCAGCACTCCCAGCCGAGGTCTGTCCATCCCAGCAGTCGACATGGATGCACCACAGTTAGTGTGATGGGGTAAAGTGTGCGTACTCGCAGCTCTTGCGAGACGTCTGGCCGGCGTGGAAGAGAAGGCCAAAGTTACCTCCGAGAGGGCTGCTCTCTTGAGCTCCGTCTAGCGGAGGCCCGTTCCGCCAACAGTGTAGTAACCACTTGCAGGGCTGCGCCTTTAACTTTGTGTATATGCGTCAGCTGCCACCTTGCAGACGAGATGTATTATATCGGCTTTTGGCATTGCATGGGGTCGCATTACGTTACGTGGAGCGCTCTAGCCAGTAATATCTGATGATCCGGCAGCATTTGTCAAATTAGCCTGAGACCAGAAAGACTGAAACTGCCCAAAGAGTTTATTTACGAATTTAGATATTTTGCTCGATATTATTGTTCCCAAAAGTCAATGGGCTGATAGACTCAGCAATACGAAAATGTACAAGTTTGGGGAAACACATAACGAACTTAGGCTTAACTTTGCTGTCACTTATAAGGTGCACTTCATGTAAATGTTATATGAGATGACACCGTCGTGTTGATGTGAATGCCCTAGACGTCTCGTTTAACGTAGCGAGCTCAGTAACGTGACCCGGCCAATGTAATTGACACACCCAGGGAAGACGAACCCATGCGTGCGGCTCTCTCTCTTAATAAAGAGAGCTGCGATCTTCAACTTGTTATGTCACGTGATGTACCAACGTCACGGCAACCTTTGTCGTCGTCCATGCCTCGAGAAAAACGTGTCGAGTCCGAGTTGATTGGTTGAGGACACCTCTATCCATTTCACGCCGAGTTTCAACTTGATGATGGCGCTTTGAGTGGCAGATTTGGGCCGGAAAGGCGTCACGTGTGTAAACTAAAAAGCTAAACTTGACCCCAAGAGATGCAGGATCGTCTCAATTGCAAGTGACCCGACACGTGACCACCTACGTCTAACGCCTCTTGCCCACAGCCCACTCATGCCAACCTCTTTATCTCGCCATCATCTCACTCTCTCCATCATCTTCATATTTCTTTATATATCTCAGCCCGTCGCATCTCTCCGTGGGCCATAGCATGGCAGGCCGCTCCACGAGCCTCCACGGGCCACATCTTGGCGTGCAGGTCGCCAGTGGAAGGAGCTCTGGCCCCGTGGTCGATTGTGAATTTGCGATGGGTGGGGCTCTGACAGCGGGCACTGTGATTCATTGCCGGCACTGGAGTGTCACTTTGTATTTCTGGACGTTGAACTTCTTCCGCACCGTAGCCAACCGTGCTAGTTGGATACGCGGGGGAAGGACAACAAACTAAACACAAAATAGTTCTAAAGAAATGAGGTTTCAATCGAGATGATTTAAAAGTGCACATCTTCAGTGGCTTCCTGACCGGTGCGCATCTTCGTCAGATTTGCTTTGATCGGAAATTGTGATAATATCCACGTCACCTGCAGTGGTGAATCTCGTCGAGGCCGAGATGGGTGTTGGGAATATTTGGTCGAGATCGGTGTCTGGGCTCATGCACGGAAGGTCCGTGCGCCGTAATGCGGAGGGAGGACGATCTATGAGAGGGCGATGCACACAAACCAACCGAACTAACGAGACGACCAGCTACGATTACTATGCCTAACCCCAACCAAACAGCAAACCCAACAGTCAAACCATCGCTCTCAACAAGCTAACTGGTAACCACACTAGCCCATGCAATATTCATCCTACACCTCAACCTTACACCTAACCAACCAGACAATACTAGACAGCAGTCAGTGGCTCTGGATCAAGAGCAAAAACCCCAGCTGGGCCCCAAAGTGAGAGGGCCAGGAGGTATGCAGTCAACAATGCTTGACTCAGGGAGGAGGACACCCCTGCCATGCATAGTCCCATGGGATGTTGGCTATCAACAACAAGGCAACTCCTATGACTAATTGGGAATGGGACACAAGCGTAGGATTGATCACCCTGTCGCTGGCCGCCTTTGGGGAGGGTGTATAGTATGAAAGGCCGAAACACCCTAGGAACCAAAGGTTCACTACTGACGATGCGCTCCCCAAATTTCACCAGGCTCACTGTTCACGAACTCTTGTAAGTGCTTGCACAAAGGATAGTAACATCTCATCCTGTGTTCTTTGGAATCATTCGTGCTAACGCTAACCCGAACCAACCAGCCGCTAATACGAGCCCTGGAGCTATAACCCCACCAGCCCCTTACCCCACCTCTGCTGCCCTCCCATGGCCTGTGCAGAGTTTTGTCCCGATGTGAATATCACCACGAGAATCGTGAAGCAGCCAGCATGATGGGTGTGTTTTTTTTACAAGTGATATATCCGCTGGATTGATTTCGTTCAGATTCTGTGAGTCGAAGCTCAGTGCCCTCCTTGATGACGCAACGCGTTCCTACACGCCATGGGCCACGGAAGGATGAATTCTGGATATTTGTCAATTGTCCTTTTCGCTGTTGGTTTGTGTCTCTTCGGCCAGTTTTCTGCAGTGTAAGCCCCTAACGGGAAGGCATCTATGCGCTCAAATTGTGTTCGGAGTGGATCGACTTGACGAGAGTTGTCGTGCCCGATCCCCTTGTCCCCCCCCCTCTTCCCCATGACGGACGAACGGACCGAGCTAACGCGTAAACCCTTTCCACCTCAGCTGGAAAGCGTTAGGCCAGGCCGCGCTGTCCCCGCGACGTTGATCCCGACTGACATCCCCCCCCCACTCGACCGCCTTCGTGCCCCCTACCCACCTCCCCTTCACCGCACCGCCGCCGACACCGCCCTCGGCCGCACAGACAGCGTCGGCGTGGGCTGCGAGCTGAACGGGCATCGCTACTACAACGGGCAGAGCTTCCTGCCCAGCTGCAAGTACGCGTGCACCTGCATCAACGGCGCGGTGGGCTGCGTGGCGCGCTGCGCGCTCAGCCCGCGGCCGCCAGCGGAGCGCTGCCTGCGCCCCCGCCTGCTCAAGTCGGCCGACCGCTGCTGTGAGGAGTGGCACTGCCTCGACTCGAAGAAGGTGAAGAAGTCGGCGCCCAAGGCGCTGCTGCAGAGCAAGCCGCGGCCAGGTGTGTGTCGTGCGTGTGTGTGTGTGTTTTGAACTTCTTTCGCACCGCACGTAGCCAACCGTGCTAATCGGAGGTGCGGGGGAAGGACAACAAACTAAACGCACACAAAGCACGCGCGTGTGTGTGTGCGTGTGTGTCACCTCCGATTAGTCACTGATGGGTGCCAATCATGAGCCTGTGTCACGGATGGATGTGTGGCTGATGGGTGCGTGTCATTGCACCTCTGATGAGCACGGATAGCTACGTACGGCGCGAAAGAAGTTCAACGTGCACACATTGGCGGATATGTCTAATCAGTGCCAGCCGTGTGACGCGGCAGCCTGTCGCGACAAGGGCGCGCGTCACGCTTGTCACTGCAGGGTGAGCGGTCCTTGCCGAGGTTGAGTGACGATAAATGGAAGTGGAGCGTACTCGGCGTACCCGAGTTGAAAACGCCGATCGGGAGAGCATCCTCCCCCTCCCGCCGCTCCCTCTCCCCCCTCGTGTTCACCTTCTGAAGCGTTCGCTCGTCACCGTGGCGTGCGCGATGACCACCACCACCACGTGACTTTTCTTTCGTGTTGTGCGCGGTGCATTTAGCGCCACAGCGCGTGGATTTATAGCGTTTGTTTTATTTGTTTGCTGGTGACTTTGTGTATTTCATATCGAAATCGCCTCCAGTGCTGTTGCTACTGGCGGCAATAAAAGTTGTTTAAAAGTCAAAAGTATCCCCCCTCCCGCCACTCCCTCTCCCTGCTGCTCCCTCTCCCCGCCGCCCCCTCTCGCTCCGCAGTGTTCCGCGGCCACGGGAAGCAGTGGAACAAGAACTGCCTGGTGCAGAGCACCGAGTGGAGCGCGTGCTCGCGCTCGTGCGGCGTGGGCATCTCCACGCGCATCACCAACGACAACCCCAGCTGCCACCTGCTCAGGGAGCGGCGGCTCTGCCTCGTGCGCCCGTGCGACCTCGCGCTCACCCGGGGCGTGCGGGTGAGCGCCGGCCGCGGCACCCTTCACATCGCCACCAGCATTCAGCAATTGCATCATCATCGTTATTAGCATCAGCAGCATCAGCAGCATCACCATTATCATCGCCATTGTCATCAGCAGCTGCATCGGTAGCAGCCGTGACCAAGCTACTGATGGATCTAAGGTTACCCAAAGCGCCCCTCCCCCCCATCCTCCCACTCACAGTCGTACGGTGTAATAATTGCACATCGACTGATTTCATCGCTCCATCTCCGCGGTAGTCATCCTTTCGGGCACGTTCCCTCCCGTGGCTGCCACTCGGTTGCATCATGTCCGGCCAAAGCTTTTGTACAAAGTTCTCTGTAGGAAACAGTGCCGCAAAATCCATTGTCGGACTGTATTTTTGCGCTCCTGGGTCTGTGCTTCGCGTCTTCGCCACCCCGCACTGACCGGCGTGGTGAACTGTGGCCAAATAACCCCCACCACGACGTCTCGCACGGCGCAGGGAGGCCCTCATCCAGCAGTGCGCCGAAAGCAGGCTACGTACCGCGGACTCGAACGCAGCAACATCGACCGCTGCGTCTCTACCCACAGTGGGCGGACGAGATGACGACAGACGCGCGTGCGTGTGCGCGTGCGTGCAGGACGGCAAGAAGTGCGTGCGCGTGTACGTGGCGGAGAAGCCGGTGCGCCTCGAGCTGTCGGGCTGCGTGTCGCGCTCCGCCTTCCAGCTGCGCTACTGCGGCGGCTGCACGGACGGGCGCTGCTGCCGGCCCCTGCGCACGCACACGATCCCCGTCGACTTCGACTGCCCCAACGACGGAGGGCGCGGCGGCGGCGGTGGCGGCGGCGGTGCCGCTGGGGCCGCCACCGGCACCGCCGCGACTGTCACGTGGAACGTCATGTGGGTTCGGAGCTGCTCGTGCCACTGGGACTGCGTGAACCCCAACGACATGTTCGCCGAGCTCGGCAACTTCCAGGCGCTCGAGGAGGAGGAGCAGGAGGAGGAAGAGGGGAACGCGCGCGCCATCGAGAACTAAGCGAGGCTGAGAACGCTTCGATCCGCCCCCGGTGATCCGTCGAGAGGGGGAGCAGCGAACGTCGCGTTGTGCGCGCTTTCTCTTGTCGTCACCAGGGCTTCATTTCTCAACGAATATTCCCTCCGGATCGCTGCCGATGCAATTGCAGTGGCTGGCACGTGATTAGTCGTAGCCAGCTGCTGCGAGGAGAGGCATACTGGATGTGGGGCGCCGGCTGTGGATAGATTGTCTGGGTCGCCGATCCAGACATATCCAGATGAAATGAAGCCCTGGTTATTGTGGGAGTTACAACAGCTGTTCAATCTGTTGCGCGACATCCCAACGTTACCGCATTTATCGGGCCCGACGAACGTGTAATTGTCGAACGTTCATTTTTTTCCGACACCGCGCCGATGTCTCGATCATTACCGACAGGCCAAACGTGTTTCAGTCACTCGTCAAGATGTGTGCATAGTTCACAGCGTACGTGGGGACAACCGTCCGTGGAAGACAAGGTTGCGAATCGGTGAAGGAGTTTCTGGTTCCGCCGCTAACGTGGCTTCGGCTACGCATGCTCTCTCACCGCGTGCTGATGGGAGAATCGGCCTGTGTCCGGTGAAAATGCGGCAATGTTTCCGTCACCGAAGATGTGGAGGGTGACATCTCCCACGACGGCGCGTGTCACCCGGTTCATCAACGCGCGAATCGCGCTCCGTGTGCGAGAGGCGAGCGGTCGGAGCCGGCGCGTCGTGTCGAGCGATCGCGTGTTCGACAGCAGCGATGGCGACTCTGTGTTGGGATAATCGTGATGGTGGCGGTGATGTCGATGATAATGGCGATTGTCAATGATGATTGGATTGTGAATGTCAGCAGCTGCAACCGACGAGTGGCCTGGTGATAACAATGTGGGCGACTGCCTACGAGTTTGTGCCCCGAACAGGGTCGATGCGTGAGGTGCACTTTGTCGAGAATTCTTTCTCAAAGAAAGCCATTTAAAAAAAAAAGTCAAAGTGTCTCCATGTTCAAGTGAGCGTGGGGTGGTGCTAATGTCCGTCGGTGGCCTCGAAACAGCCATGGAAATTCCACATTTATCGTGGGGGAAACGTTTTTCCACCACATGGCAACTACCACTGCCTCGAAAGCCATTGTAAGCACTTTAACCCAAAGGGGTTAATGTTGGAATCGAAGCGAAATTGAAAAGGAATAAAAAATGTGCATAAGATAATAAGAGGACTTCCGCTCAGCACAACCGCACCCTTCGTATGTACTGCATGTGTATGCATGTTGAACTTTCTTTCGCACCGTACGTAGCCAACCGTGCTAATCAGAGTGTGCGGGGTCGGAGGACAACACACCGAACGCAGCTCGCCGTGCGACTCTTCTTCTGCAGCGGATGCCGACGCCAGCCGGGTCCCACAAGACCTGTCTCCCTGATGCTCACGCGATGAAGCAGAGCACAGACTGACGGACGCAGTAGCCCCAGAGTTCTCTCACAGCTCCCCTATTTGCGTGCCGACTCGGTCCGTGTTCTCCTGTAACGGCGCCGCTAGTCGCCTTCCTGAAGAACACACCGCGTTATGGAAAAATCGCATTTTAATAAATAATTTAGAACACGGGGGCTAGAGCGCCAGTCCTCGATAATACGCGCGGTGCGTAACTCAGGCCGAACATAGACTGAGGTGCGTGGGGTGGCATCTAGAAGAATCCAGCAGCATCCCACGGCCTTGCGCGATGCTACGCCGAAGCAGCCATACGGCCGCTTATTCCTCCTACTCGCGCGACGTAGCTCCGTTCACTCAATCGCGTTGTAGCCAAATCGCATCCGCGTTATAGAAAATGTGCTCCCTAATAAATTGAATCGCGTTATATCCCATTCGCGTTATGAAAACAACATGCGCCGTTATAGGAGAGCAGGCTGCACTTGATTCGCGGTGGGCGTTATGGTGCCGGGATGTCTGCTGCTGGTCCATGATCCCAGACCCAGGGATATCTCACTTGTAAACAACCTCCTGGGGTGGCATCGCCCTCGTGTGCCACCAATTGCCGAACGTGGCCAGTGATTTACGAGACAAGCATTTTAAATGAGCGATGTTGGCAAGTAATTCACCCACATTGGCCGCCTAAATCGGAAACGGCTAAAGTGTTGCTACGTTTGTTGGTACCAAGTTGTGTTCTGTCCCATGGACTATTCTACCTGGTAACTGCAGGGCTGAGGTGCTAACTTGTTCCTTTAATGTACGCTGATAATGCCAGCTTGCTTTTCTTGCTTGTGAATGTTGCAAGGGTTGAAACCATTGCATGTTAAGTGTTTTTCCTGCCACATTGTTCCAACTGAAGAATGGGGGCAGTGGAGGTGACCAGGTTGGTTTAAAGGTCAGAGTGCTAAGCTAGCACGATGGAAATCCTGGCATTGAATCCCAGGTTTCAGCCGCCCGTGATGGATCTGTGTTCTCAAGTGTGATGAGTTGATCATCTCAGCCTGGTTCAAAATTACTGCAAAGAAAGAAAAAAAATAGCCATCACACAAAATTAGTATTCTATGGGTCTTTCGGTAAAGCCACGTAGATAGAAAATAATAATAATATCACGACGTTTCGATCGCAACACAAGCAATCGTCTCACCTAAAGACGATTGCTTGTGTTGCGATCGAAACGTCGAAATATATATTTTTTATTTTTCTATCTACGTAGCTTTACCGAAAGAGCCATAGAAATGTATTCCTGCAGTCACGAAAGCTTTAAGTCAAAACACTAAATTAGCTTTTTCAATGTTCGGTGTCATATAATGAACACATTTTGCAGAGTATCCAAGTTGTCACAGTCGTGTGGACGAAGAGGTCAACTGAAGCGACCTCAGCAATAGTTCTGTGATCTCATCTCGTGCGGCCGTTCTCCGGCACAAGGTGGTACACTCCTGGCTGCACAGTTTAGAATGGGATTTCTTCATCTCAACACGTGATGCTGATATTACAATTGGAATACAAGGGGTGGGCGGTGATGGGGGAAGTCAGTATAATGCAGAATTATAAAGTCACGATGATGAAATAACTCTTAATCACGTAAACCATTTCCTTATATAATGTCACCGTGTATCATGCGGCACAAACTCAGGAGCAATTAAACAGCTCGCTCAGCCTAACGACAAATGAATGAATGTTAGCGATAGCACAAATTACATTTACCGAGCAATGAACATCACGTTGTGTGCGGCTCACGGAGCTCACGGAGCATCGAGACAATTCCACCGTGAAGAGAACAAAAAGCAAGCCACGCGTTTAAAATCCTCTGCAATTATTGTACAGCCTTCTTTGCTATGCCACTGCTGGACGAGGGCCTCCCCATGCCTTGTGGGTCGCGTGGGTTGTTTAAGCATCCTTCAGGCTGGTCAGCGCAGAGAAGTGAAGGCGGGTAGCATAGGCGTTGGAACGCACTACGGTACAACAATGCTGTGCGCTGCACGGTGCTCTGCCGACAATGTAGCCCCGCAGCAGCAGAGAGCGCCTGTGTGATGAGTGGTGGCCACCCATCCATTCCTTCGAAGTGGCAATCCAGACATGAGGTCAATTGTTTGGGCCACTGGCCTATTGTGTATTGGATGTCATCACGGCTGCTCCCTCCACGTGTAATCGAGCGCCCACACAGGATTGGTCGTTCGGACACAGCAACTGCGAGCACACAGACCACGATGGGCTTTTCCCCACCGGGATTCTGCACAGAGCCGCAGCGTCCTGTCGTGAAGCGTTCGTTCACATGGACGAGCTGCAGAGGCCAAGGAGTCGCGAGTTTGTGGGGCATAGCTTCCAAGCGGCGACAAGGCGACAGTTTTTACTCAGCTCCCTCCCAGAACCGCCGAAAGGCCACACCTGTGGTCCTTACCACCGCAGCAGCGCCGAGTTGATGCGGAGAAAAATGTCCCCGCATGCATGCACGATGCTCGACGCAGTGCACGTCGCTGCGAAGGACGCTGCTGTTCTCGGTAGCTCCCTCCCTCCGAGGTGTTTTGCTTCTCGACGACGGCTCCAGGAACGTGGAGCAAAAACGTCGTGACATCGTGCGCCGAAACGACCGGCGGTGCAGAAAGTAGATGGGAGAACGATGAAAAGATTTCTTAGGATGCCCACGGCACAGGCTTAAGGCTACGGCGCTCGCTGGCGTGCAGGGCTGTGAACGCGCTTGGCAGACTCGGCTCACACGCGGGCCAGCGGAAGCGGTAACAGAACACACGATCTCCTTACTCGCACGGTGCCAACCACTGGCCACCATGCCTGGCCGCACTCGTGTGCCATCTGTGAGCTCCTGATCACGGATGGCCTCAAGGGTGACGGGAGTGTTCCTATGACTGGCGCTAAGGGCAAGCGATCAGGGAAGCGCTCGGGCTGCCCGTTCGGCCTTGAAGTCGTGTAAATGTATATCCTCAAGTAGTGCTTGTGGCTTTTTATTTTATTCCCCGGCGTATATTTGCTGCAAACGAAGTAAAAATAAAGCAAGATGTTTTTTTTCACAACCGGTGCTTAAATGTTGAGACGCGTGTTTTGACATTCTCAGTGGCACAGGTGCCACATTCATCATAAGCATAAGTTCAACTTGTGCGGCAATACACTATGGGGACCTCATTTGCCAGTAAAAATATGATAATTGGTTCTTTACCCTTCTATCTGGCAACAAAACTGACACCTTTTTGCAAGGAGTCATGTTTGCATAGACTGCAATACCTGCAGTCATAAATACAAACAAAAGACATAACTCTGATAATGTGCACTGTCCTTGAAGTTGATTGGTCCACACCCGAGACAGCTTTCCTTCGAGCCTAGTCTCATATGGGTTGGACCAGATGACGCCAAAAGGCGGCAATGTTTGCTCGCTCTGAAGCGAGGAGACGACTCAGAGGCGCGAGGAACCAGACAAACGGGAGGGCGGCAGCAGCAGCCACGCGGTCAACAGGCGCCAACAATTGCCCAAGTTCTGCTGTCCTCTATGTGTCCGTATGTTGAACTTCTTTCGCACCGTACATAGCCAACCGTGCCAAGCGAAGGTGCGGGGGAAGGACAAACTTAACACAAGCAGTTTTACAATGGGGGGGAATGATGGCCGCAGTGAGCAGACACAGGGCTGTGACTCCAAAGACCGGAACAGCCCAGGACGAGCATGTCCAAAGCTTCGGCTCGTCAGGGCCATCGCCACCTACCCAGCAAGGGGCCACGTGGCGAGGTACCAGAGGCGCCGCACACTTGCCACTTAATCGCGACGTGTAACACCCACTCAGCCGACATCCCGTGGCAACTCGTAGCACATCGCTACCGCGTAACTTTACGGTAAGCAAACTCAACAAAAGCATGCCCGTGTCAATTACGGAGAAAAGCTCTTTTATTGTAGCTAGTTTACAGCACTGAAAATACGCACACTGAATTTAGTTGAAGACGGTGGCTGCTACAAACCACGTCTCAGGTTTCTCCAGGCTCGGGTTCCACATGCAGGTGGACTCGTTCAGAATGTTAATTGTGATAATGCAGCAGACCGGTTCTCCTGGAAAGCCACACCGACGACACACACTCGTCTGCAGCCCCAATTAAGCAACTCTCATTGAATTCCAGGGAATTAATTAATTCACCTGTGCACACCGCCTAAAACTAAGCAAACCCGAGGCAAGAGTTGTGTTATGTCCCGCAAACTGGAGCTATGATCCACCACCGGCTAAAGCTTCCCGTGTGAACGCGTTGACAAGTGGACCAGACATCTGCCAGGCCATTCTAGCGGCCTGTGTACCGTACGGCGACGCTGCCACACTCCGGGCTCCAACAGCTACAAAAACAGTTGCGGCGAGCCTGCCATCGTGACACTGCTCCGGCACACGTCTGGCAGGTACTCCACCGGAACAGCTTCAGCAACGGGGCTCACCATCGCTTCTCGAGGGGGAGGCGGGCTTCCTGGTGCACATTTCACACCTCCGATTAACAGTTGGCTACATGCAGTGTGAAAGTTGTACATACACCCCCAGCGCATGCTCATTAGCGGCACGCACAAATACCACGTTGTGGTAATAGTGAAGTATTGGTTCAAGGGCAGTGCCCTTCTAGGAACAATACCCTCTGTTGATGCAGGAAAGCTCCGAGGTAACGTACTTTACATTATCAGGAGGGCCCTGCACTGGGATGTTTTGGCCAATCCCACGAATGAGTGGCATGCGAGAGAAAACTGGAGAAGCAGGAGAAAACACAGCACGCATTACTAAGCTAACGGTCCAAGTTCTACACAGGATACAAAAAAATCATTGGCTGCGATACCTTTCCCCAGGTCACCACGCAGCCCTAAAATGGTTTGGGACTTTCACAAAAAATCCGTGATCCACCAAGCCTTAGTTTCCACAGTACTGGATCAAAGATAGGCATCACTTCGCCTGGCTACTAGGTTTCTTCTAAACAGGGCATTTATGTACAGTTACGCCTGTGGAGAGTGTCTTTAAACAACATCTCCCGACTCTGCTGCTAATTTCCTTGCGCACAGCAAGTGCGGAAATGAAAAAAAGCTATCTCGTGATGATGCAGGGCAATGTCTTGTACTGTATTCCGCATCCTGCAGATGCAGCAGCTCGCACCTGTGTCAACAGGGAAAAGTCCAAGCCAATGCTCACACACACACACACTCACACACACACACGCACACACACACGCACGCACACACACACACGCACACACACACACACGCACACACACACGCACACACGCACACACACACACGGCTTCCAAGGTATCAGTGAACTCGCACGAATGGGCGAGTCCAGCAAAGTAAAAGGCCTCAATTTCTGAGTAGAACTATTGAGCGTTAAATATTGAACTTAACACCAATTAACTATCCCAGCCAAATTCAAAGGCAGGTTTTGAATAATGACCTTGTTCTGACACTAAACGGACCACATAATGGGTGTTCATAGATGGCTCTTGGCTAAAACCTCATAAGTTACAAAACAAATCTCAACTGCTGAAGTTTCCCAATTAAATTTTTTTTGAGAAAAACACTGGTCCCGAAAATCCGAGGGCTGATCGGGTCAATCATTAGGTTAATGTTTACATGGACTCTGCCTTGCCTTACAAGTAACACAACTGCCCAGTCGATGCAAAGCATATTTTTAATAAGCCTACGTGTTAACCAAACTGTAAATACATGACAAATAGTACCGAACCCCAGTATCCAATATTTCCACACTCTGGATAAATTTATGCCAATTCCAAATGAAACTTCTTCCTAAGGCATAGCCAACCATGACCTATTCTCGTTGTATCCATACTGAAACATTGAAGTGCTTGCCCAAATGTTTACAGGTCAACTGATGAAGACAATTCAGAAGCAGATCAAGGTGCGGACCGGAGTTCGTCTTCTCACTCCGGTCACGTCCAAACCCAGCCGCCGAGTCAGCTTTGCCAGACCGACGGTCCGCCTTCAAGTAACACCGGTCTCCGCTTCATGACCACTCCACACACAGCGCTGGACGTGAAGCCGCTCTCGGGTGTGTACGTCTCCGATGACCCCCAGGTACAGCAGGTAGCCCCAGCAGCAGCAGTAACTGCTGCTGCCAAAAACGCTCCGGCGGCCATCGGCAGACTGTCCTCCCACCTCATGACCGCACACACGCGATGGTGCAACTGGTGGCGGCTGAACAGTCGTCGAGTGCTACTGCTACGGATTCTAGCGTTCGAACTTGAGAAATATTAACAAGCGTCATTCTGCCTTTAGGCTTAAAAAGTGTCGAAACTATTATCTACAATTGCTTTTCCAATTATGCCCCTAGAGAATGCGCACTCCAGGGGTAGGCGCGATCAGCTGCTGAGCGCGTCATCGGTTCAACTACATTGCGGATGTCAACGGGTGGGCCGCGTGGCTCACAGCAGCCTCCCAAGAGGCGCAAGAGCTTCACGGCCACAGTAGTTCTGTCCGGTGCTGCTATCCATTCATAAGACACATTGGGAGCCAGAGATGAGCAGGGATGGCCATCTCTCCATCACCACAGCTGGCCCTCTCATATTGCACACTTGGATCACACACACACCCCGAGCATGGCATGACGCAGACTGTTACTTTAAATCATGCAGGTATGGAGACATACTTAAGTTAAATTATAGCTATTAAAAGCCACATATACTTCTAGAATAATAATAGTAATAATAAGAATGGCACTATGATTTGTCAAGAGTAATTTACATATACATACAGATGAGAGAAGTCTATGGCATCAGTCACTTCGTAGGTTGTTGATTCAACTGGCAGCGCAGACCGTGACACCCGCTGTCGCTACATCACACACATCACAAGCAAACGTGCGGCATTGCTGGAACTTTTTAACGGCAATATTATTCGCACTTTAGATGAAATAACTTTGGCTGCGTGACCTTTATTTGCAGCATGCCAAACATAAAACAGTTTTTTTGTGTATCAAAAAAACCTCTGATTTTACGCTTTCAAAAATCCCTTACCGTTGTCGCTTCTCTAAGTTTTGCTTCTCACAATCCATAAGCAAAATGAAGTGCGGAAGAAAAAAATATTTCAACTAACGTGCACGAGTGTATAAGAGGTGGCCTTAAGAAGCCTAAACAGATGAAATCCTCTATGGCTGGAAGTGCCTCCCATCTCACTCAAGGTCCACCAAGGCCCGACAGCGGCCTATCCCCAGCCTGTCTGCTGGGCCGGCCACCGGACAAGTGGGAGGTGGCCATGCACGTACACGTACTGGCACTTTTTGCAAATGACCAAAATCTCTCGTGAAGAAATTATAAGGTCCCGGGCAAAGCCACACTTTGCGGTGATGTGTAACGGCCGTGGAGAGCACGCCACGTGGGGCGCGGGAGGTGAAACAATCGCTACCACCGCTGCCGCCGCCGCCGGACAGAGGAAGGCGGAGCGAGGGGGGTCAAGACAGGGTCGATGTGCAGCTCGTGTCGCTCACTCCCAGTCTTCCCAGTCGCCCTCCATCTAAGAGTCGTACGCACACACACGCACGCACAAACGCACAAACAGCGGCAGTCGCCGTCAGTAGCCATCAGTCAGGATTATTCCGTAGATGCAAGCGGACGTAAGCTCAAACCACATTCAGCACGCAGAAACATAATATAAACCACATGCATGAAAAACAAACAATGTGTGCAACACACACACAACAAATGAAACGCAGATATACAAACATGTGAGCAAATTCAACGGGACTTCCGCGCCCTCTAGTGGCCGACAACGGCACCTGCCTTTAGTGATCAAATATCGGAGTGCACGACAAAGGGTGGGATTCGGAGAAACCGGCGTTCCGATAACCCGGCGCAAACAGTTGGACTAGAGGTCAAAGAAGCGTAGCACCTCCCCAGACGCCTCTGCTTTGGCCAGCGCTTGCTGTATCTCCTCCTCCGTCATGTCCAGTTCAAACTCCTTCTCCCAGTCCTCGCTGATGTCTGTGCTGGAGCCTGCAAGAATTCACATGGATAAGAGTCAAAATATTTCCAGCTACCGCACAGTTAGAGACGTGACCTTATCATCACAGCATGTGACATTAATGTCGAGTGAGCATTCCGTTTTTTTTCCATTGTGGTGCACGCACCCTTTCCACAGCTTACGTGACGTGCACATCACACAAAACCCAACTCCGGCGGGAGTCCAGCCGAAACGTGCCACGCGACGCAAAGCAGCCGAGTAGAGACCACGGTGACGACGGAGAGACAAGAGCCGCAACCCAGTGGCCCCCCAAGACCCCAGAAGGTCACAGAAAGGGGATGGCGAGAGCAACGGGCGGCGCCGTACCGATCTTGGCGCTGTTGGACGGCGTCGACTTGCCGCTGTCCGACCGCAGCTCCAGCACGCGCAGGTCGGTCACCGCCTCGTCCTTGCCGGCCGCGGGAGGCGTCGGGGACGCCGAGTCCCTCCGCTCGCCCGCGCCGCCGTCTCCGCCGGCGAGCGCGTGCGACACGAGCGTCTCCGCGGTTACCGTGTCCGAGGTGGTCACGGTCTCCGAGGACGCGGAAGGGGGGAGAGCGTCAGGCGCGGCGCCGGCGTCAGTCCTCGAGTCCGGGGCGGGCGAGGAGGGGGTCGGTTTGTCGGAATCGTGGCGGGCGGTGGGCGTGGTCCGCGGCTCACGCCGCTCGCTCAGCGAGAGCGCCGTCTCCGTGAGTTCGCTCAGCGTCTGTACCGACGAGCTCGGGGGGTGCGGCGCATCCGCGGAGGGGGGCTCGCGCCGGGTCTCGTCGGCCTCGGGGTGGGAGGGGCGGACGTGGCCGACTCTGCTCTCCTTCTTGGAGTCCAGGAGATCGTCTGCAGGAGCACACGGCGGTGGCAGAGCACACACTAAGCTCAGCTCACCTATTCCTGCATTTAAATTTAATAACGTGTTAATTACAAGCTGAAAAGCTGGTCCATTCAGGGGCGCGACCTCACTTTGTTACACCCACACACTCGCATGCTAATTGCACTGTAATTCTAAATAACGTTATTAATTTATTTATTTAGATATCTCTGTAACAATTTTGTTGCCAATTTTGTCCAAAATCTTTAAGAGATGTGGACACTGGTTGTGTGGCAAGTTTAATAGTTACCGTTTGACGGGGAATTGCCATGTTCTCATGTTAAACTCGTGAAGTGCCCTCGGAAAGATGGACACATTTCCCCTGCACAGCGACGAGTAAGCTCTCAGCACCTTTACAAAAAAACCAGGATGTTTTCTGTCACCGAGACGAGAGACCACTCAGGCACTACAAGCACAACAAAGCACCACGACATAATAATGAAACATTCTGAAATCAAATCACGACTTCGTGGAAGCACATTTTCACAGGCCCAAAAGTTACAGTATTGCGGTGTTTCTTTACACCGCCGCAGTAAGCCATGACTTGTAGAATGCATATCGTCTATTACTATCAGCAAAGCGGGCATGGAACCCGCGCTCCTGATAACCCAGCAACGGTGAAATGTGATAGCTGCGTCGTTGTGCGACGAGGAAAGTGGCACACTCGCAGCCTCACCCTCCTCATCTTCCCAGCCCAGCTCCTTGTCCTGGCTGCTGGGGTCTGCCCTCTTCATCAGATCGGCTCTCCGTGCCTCGTCCTTCTCGCACACGCAAAGGGTCAGGCACGCACCAGGCTCAGATGGCACGCGCCGTTCAACGACGCCGAACGTCGCTTTCGTTTGTGATCTTTCTGTCCAATTCGTTCATTCTACAAAAACTAAGCAGATCCACGCAAACAGCAAGAGAAGCTCTTTTAAAATGAGAGTATGTGCCTTTTGACACCTGATGAGGGAGGCTAGTGCTGCCTCCGAAACGTCGAGATTTAATTTAGTTGTTTTCATTTATTTTATTTTATTAATTGTTTTACCTACGTGACTTTACCGAAAAAACCAAAGAGGAAGATGGATAGTTATTCATACGGATCAATTTTCAACCCACCTTAGGACCTGCACATTCCAGACACCCGTCTGTAAACTGGAAAATGCCTCTTCCCGATGAACCCTTTGGAGAGATGGAATAATACTACCAGCAGCACACTGTGGCTATCAAACAAACCGATGAAGAAGCTCCATTGACCCTACGGAGTAAGACCAACAGCGTTAGCGAGAGCCAAGTGACTGCGCAAAGGGGGCCTCACAACCCTTCGCCCAGTCACTTGGCTAAATTTAGCACGGTTGGCTACGTACGGTGTGAAAGAAGTTCAACACACATATGTACACACCTGTTCCAACTGGTAGACCTTGTAGAAGTAGCGGTGCCAGAACTCCAGGTGGGACACGGCCGCAGGCACCTGCGGGGGTGATTACCACAGCAAACAGTTCCGGGGTTCATTCCACTTTTGAACCTACTTGAGCAGAAGTACCCCTTTAAAAAACATTGTCAACCACAGCAGTTATTCCCCCCTCTTCTATTATATTCAAATTGTGCTATCAGTGTCACATCAGACGATGATTAAATTCCCGTTCTGAACTGTCGCAGCAAGAAGTGCACCACCGTGTCACGAGAATGTCCCTGGAAGATGTTGAAGGGCTACTTTTGAAGCGACCTCAATAGGCCTGTCAGTCGCGACGGAGCTATCTTCCCACCTGCACTGCTACAGTGAGAAAAAATAGGCTTGTCATCCGTGCTTCTTCCGTAACTGAGAGCTCAATCTTTTGGTTTGATCACAGGACAGGTGGGAAAGTGCTGGCCACTAATGCGGCTTTTCACAGACAAAGGGTGACCCGAAAGTGATGACAATTCCACCCTCTTTATCCGAATCTATCCATGCAGCTAATAGTACTTTCGGAGGTCAAATACAGACACTGGGATCCACCAATAGCGCCGCCACATCGGCGCGGACAAGAGGTGCTCCACTGTGGTGGACACGTCGGTGTAGCCGTCGGGGCTCCTGGCTAGGGGCGGCCGTGACCGCGTCGTCTCACCAGGCGCGTGTAGAGCGCGCGGATCGCGGGGCACGCGACCAGCAGCTCCGCCGTCTCCGCCTTGCGCTCCTCCAGGCTGAAGCTCTCGGCCCACGACATAAAATGCTCCTGGAGGCCTGGGCGCAGCGCACACACACACACACACGCGTGGTACGGAGACTCTGCTAAGAACCATTCTCAGGTTGAGACATCGTTATCACTATCAGCACCAGCAGCAGCCATGAAAGCCTCCCCAATCTGTCGCCATCTCTCGCGGTGGTGAGAATGGAACGAACAGAGTGGATGTAACAATCCACCTATCACCTGCACGCAAGCTGATTTTATCGCTTCATTTTCGTGGTGTACGCCTTCTTAAGCGTCCTGCCAAAGCCCACTTAGTTTGTCGTGATTCTAGATATGTTCTCGAATCCACGTGATGAAATACAACTATATCCTGCATTTTGTTCAGGCTAATTGCCACGCAGTTTGTGGCTATAAAAAAAAAAAGAAGCGATTACAAATCCCAATACAGAATCCTTCTGAAAAACAAGTTTTGAGACTCAGCAAGTCAAGTTGAAGGAGCAATACATACAAGGCCATTTGGATGATATACTTATGGGAAGACCCAATCCACAAAACACAGCTCTCAACTTGCAGGCAGACTAACAGTGCATGTATCCCAGGCTGCCCAACACAAGTTTAAGCTTTGTTAATAAACACGATTTAAAATCACTGTCAAACACTCCATATTCCGTGATATCGCGCCTCCAATTATCACGGATGGATACGTACAGTGCAAAAAAAGTTCAACATACGTAGATTTCACCGCATTGGCACTGCATAAAAACATACGAGAGTGACGTGACAGTGACATACCTAGAGTGCCATGATTACATGTCCGAGCGTGATTTTAAAATCCATTCTTTCACTGTGGAAGTTTTGAACGAGATGCTACACAGCTGTGGACACAGCCACCAATACAGCTTTAGGTGTGCATCTGCAACATGAGACCCGTTCATTTATGTTTTGGGTTGCACCTCATGTTAACAAGGAGTGAGTGCGCACTGCGCTCTGCTTACCATCAGGCTCATTGCAGTACGTGGCAGGGTCGGCTTGCAGGCTGTACAGCCGGGCCTGCAAAGCGTCATGTTCAATCAACACACAGAACCTCTCAAACACTGCATTGATATGCATCTACATAGCCTAGACTAACACGAGCCGTACAAAGTGTGACACTTTTGTTTAGTCAGTTCTTAATTAAAGTATTCGGTCCTTGTATATTTTTCAGTACATAATGATTTACCCGCATTACAACTCTATGAATTGTCCTGATGTGAAGTTGTGATGTAATGGTGAAAGTAGTGCCTATGGTTGCTGCAGGGTTTACGTGAACCAATCGTATACTAAGGATTAAACAGATTCTTACACACAAGATAGGATACGCATATCCTAAGTGTAAGAATCCATGTTCATAATTCTTTTATACACTTTTAAAAACTCTTCCATACCCTTTAATATTTTGGGTTGCGAGTTAAAAACTGTTTTGTAAAATGAAGATAAATCCAGGTAACACGTGGGGATAACAGAAAGACACGGAGCACAACAAAACGAAGCACCTTGACGCGGTCGTAGGGCTCCGTGGAGCCGTCCGGAGTCGCAACCAAGGCCACATCGTCGCAGTCCAGAGTTCGGTCAGGCGAGGGTGAAAACGCGTCGGAGATAACCCCAAACAGGCTTGAGAGGCTCTCCTTCATCTTCCGCCCCGTGTCCGTCGAGCCGTCAGCCTGGGTGTGCAACGACGACGACAGCAGTGACGACAGCAGTGACGACAGCAGTGACGAGAGCAGTGACGACAGCAGTGACGACAGCAGTGACGACAGCAGTGACGACAGCAGTGACGACAGCAGTGACGAGTGGGGACAGTCATAGTGGGGGTGCGTGGGGGCCCGGAGCAACGCACACTGTGTGGGCCCCCCCTCCCCCTCAACGCCTTCAAACTAAACCGGAAGTACTACATCTGACATGGTGAGGTTGAAGCACGGGGTCCCCTCAATTCGCCGCACCCTAGGGAGGGCTCTGATAACAACACGCACAGCAAGCGGCCACCCCAGAGCCTGACACTGCGACCGGGGCAGCCAGGCCTGCCGTGCACGGTGGTACTCTTTTCTAGGTCAAGCTGTCGCAACTGCCACTAGAATCAATAAAAACGATTTCTCTATGACAAAGCCAAAACAGTTGTCCGTAGGAGATTAAATGGGTTTTAACGCCACACAGAGCAGCAGACAATGAGATAAATCACCAGCAGAATGGCCATAGCCACGAACTGTACACGTGTTGCACTGTACATCGACCCATCACATATGCAAGTGACAATTATGTGAATTTACTATTGCATTGACTTTCAGTAAATGTATTTACATGTTAAATGCACACGTAGTATGCAAGTGACGATTCAATACCGCCAGCAATTCGGGGGCCGATTAAATAATCAATTCCTTTTTTTGCGTTGTTCTGAATCGTTTCTTGTTTCTTGTGCCTCGTTTTGCATATCTGTTCCCTACATTAGTCAATGTCGGATCAGCATATTATTTGCATATAGTTGCATAAAAACGTAAACCGATTCTTGAATGCAAAACATGATACATGTACCATCAGCTTGACATGTATCGATCACACCTTAACCCTTTCCCTTTCCTAGAAGACCGCAAGTTGCAGGGTGGGTCCCATTCACCGCTGAATCTGGGCATTTGCAAGCGGTTCAATGTTAATTTTATTTAGAGGCATAGCACCATTGCTTTTAAAGACATTGTATTCACCGCAGGGAACCGTAGCAACACGACTGCACTCTACGATAGCTAGCGCCAAATTGTGCCACAATCAATCCCGCATGGCTTTGTGGAAGCCTCGTAACCAATAAAGTTATTATTTTTTTCGTCCAGTTCCGTTCCGATGACAGGTGTCATGGAATCTGAAGAAAATCCGATGACGTACGTGTACGTACGTTATCGGAACAAGAAAGGGTTAAGAATCGATATTCATCAATCGATGCACCGGGGGTCAAGGGTGTTGTGGGTGCCGTGAGTGTCACGCGCGTCACGGAGCGCTACGGAGCGCTACGGGCAGCGGCGGCGGTAGCGGCCCTACCGCGAGCTTGTCGCGCATGGCCGAGGCGGTGGCGGCGATGGTCGACGTGGTGTCGTGCTGCACCACCTCCGTGAACTCCGTCAGGTCGCGCTTGATGAACTCCAGCGCTTCCGACGACTGTGGAGACGCGGACACAGCCACGTGGAGTCATAACAATATATTAATAATCATTAATTAATAATGATACACGAATAATAAGTTGGAGGACTTGAGCGATCTTTGTCCATGGATCATAGAGCGCTGTACACAATATGCATAACGAGAAAAAAACAATAAGCATAACAACCTTTCAATAAAAAAACATTCTAATCGTAATAAGAAAAGGAGGGGAAGAGCCTAAAGATAAAATGAGATGAAAGCCTTCTTACATAAGAATGATTTAAGTTGAGGCAAACTTCTCAATTGAAGTCAAATCCCTGAAGTCTTTTGGCAAACCGTTCCAGAGTCGAGGGGCTACGCAGGCCACAGCCCGTTCCCCCCCAGAGCGGAGCCTTCACCTCGGAGTGGCACACTCAACGGCACCCATTCGTTTGCATCAACAACCACATTTCACAGGGTCACGGGCATCTCTTCTGCTTCATATGCATGGACACCTCCGATTAGCATGATTGGCTATGTACAGTGCAAATAAGTTCCACATGCATACATCTCAAAGTGCATACCATGATTTATAGCGTGCAATGGCAAATGCCTGCTACTAGCAATCCTCACTCCCACTCAAAGGAACGATAGCTAAAAAAACCCGTGTGGAAGATGCCATATGTAAAATGATGAACTAGAGATTCAGAAGATTAACAAACATTGGGCAACAACATTACTCTGAGTAAAGTTTATATTTGCTAAGGTGCTCGTTTCTCTGCAGGTTGTATACCTTGCCTCATGTCCTGAAATGACGTTACTCCAGTTAGTCCATTGCCCCTATGTATTAACCCATATCCCATGTCTACAGTATCCCCTTGTGTTGTCATCTCTCCTGGTCGCTCACCATGTCTGTTTCCCATGCCATTGTTTCCCACCATATCTACCATGTCGGCTGTCTCACTGTGTCATCTCCCGGTCATTCGCGGTCTCATTTATCCATGACCCCACATCTCATACCTTTCTCTCATGTCCCCCTGTGTCATCTCTACTGGGTCAATCCTTTTCTCCTTGTGTCTGCCAAGTTCCCCAATGTTTCTTCTGCCCAATCTCCGTTTGGCTCGTCTGCCATTGTCTCACGGTGCTGTCTTGTTCGTGTTCACTCCGTGTCACCGTGTCCCCCACGGGGCCCTGCTCGTGACCTCGTGACCCCGTGGGTTTCTTCGCTCCTCACCTTGCTCCGCGCCGTCTCCAGGGTGGTGTGAATCCAGCTGCCCCACCAGCCGCCGCCAGCCTCCCTGCACACGACGAGCACAGACGGCAGAGACGGAGTTAGCGAGGTAGTAGACAATGGTGAGGGTTAAGCATTGGGCAATTGGGTTAGAGTTGATGTAGGGAATCTTACGGTTTGGAGCCACGGTTGGGTTTTTGGGGTTTGTTTAGAGCTGGGTTAAAGGTTAGGATTTGGGTCCGAGCGAGGCCTCGGTTTGCAGGTAGCAGAGCTGGGAGCGGGTTACAGGCACCGATTGTAGGTTGGTAGGTTCAGGGTATATCCTTAAGGGTAGGTAGGGTTAGAGATGGGTTTGCGTTAGCGGGAGAGTGGGTGGAGAGGTGATTAACACAATGGTGGAGCAACTTAAGCTCAACTCCTGGCCAAGATTGGCATCAACTCTGAGCGAAATCTGCACTAGTCCAGCGCCCTAATCCCATCTTCACCAACCTGGACAGGGGTAGAGCTAGGGGACACCAGGGTAGGGGTAGAGTTGAGTGACGCCAGGGGAGGGGTAGAGTTGGGTGACACCACCAGAGGGGTAGAGTTGGGTGACACGAGGGGAGGGGTAGAGTTGGGTGACGCCAGGGGTAGAGCTCGGGGACACCAGGGTAGAGACAGGGGTAGGTACAGTGGTCGGGATGGGGGTACACGAGGGTTGAGTGCAGACTCGCTCGGGCTGCTGCAGGCGCAGCGGCTGGGGGGAGGTAAACACAGCGGTGGCGACCAGCCATCCCTGCTCGCCACAGCCTCCAACGCGCTCGGTGAGGGGGGCGGTGGAGGCAGCGGCCGAGAGGGCCGCAGAGCAGGGGGACCCCGCGGGGAGAGTGCGGGAGCTCGAGGGGGTCCGGGGTGGGTCGAGGGGGGGCGCGACGACGCCGAGGGAGGGGAAGCCGAGGACCGCCTCGGCCGTCCATCCCCGTCCGCTCACCCGCCGTCCGCCATCTTCCCGCCTTACGTCACCACAACAGCCGGTCACGTGACGCAGCGCGCTCGTCACGTGACTCCAGCCACCACCCCCCCCCACTCCTCCCCCCCACTCTAGCCCCCCCCACTCCAGCCCCCCACTCCCCCACTCCAGCCCCCCCCACTCCCCCCCCCCACTTCTCCCCCCCCCACTTCTCCCCCCCCCCCCACTTCTCCCCCCCCCCCACTCCACCCCCACACCGCTTCCCATCGACCGTCCAGAGGCAGCGGCCGTGATCGATCCACTGCTGGATGGATGGAGCCCCCCCCCCCCCCCCAACAATCATCCCGCCACCATCGGTCGCGATGCTGCGATGAAACAATTGTCGCGTGGGCGCCTCGGGACCAATGCAATGACGTCGTTGGGTGTTTTAAAGTGTTGGATGGCGAAGTCAAATGTGTCTCGTAATGCCCCCCTCCTCCTCCTCCTGCGCGCTGATGATGGTGGTTGCAATTATCGCCGAAACGTCGTGCCAAGGTGTTGCGAGATGGCTGTGGCACGCTTGTTCACGCCACCAGCTTTATGAACCTGCTTGTCGCGTCGGCTGGAAGGAGGGTTTACGACACACGCGGTCTGATCCAACAATAAGTATAACCTGTAAAAACAAAGTTTTTTACTATAAATCCTTTATATGCGTGGCGGCTAGAGTCCTCTCGTCCTCTGGCTTGAGATGGCTGCCACCTATGGGTCAGATGATTGCATTGCACCATTAAGTAATTGGTAATTAAATATAATATTTTTGTCCTAAAAAGTGTAACATTTTGGAAAAAAATTTTCACGAAAATAAATTGTCACGCACAACGAGTCTGTGTGGAAAATGTCAACTCGATTGGATCACGGGAAGTGGGTTAAAAAACGATCGAAAGATTTGCACGCAAGCAAGCAAGTGAACTTAATATAAAGGATTTAAAAATACATTCAGTCGTGAGACCGCGTCCCGCCATTCGCTTCATCGTTTGTTTCATTGTCCAAGTTTGATCCCAAACTAAACTAGAACTCGTTTATTTAACCAGGTAAGGCCCACTGAAATATACAGTGGGTTTTTTTTTTCAGAAGCGACCTGGCCACAAATGATAGCTAAACTTAGTGGCTTATCCTCATGCGGACATTTACAGTATAGCAGCCGAATAATCTAAACGCGTGATGTAGATTCCAAATGTGGAGGAGAAAACTCCACGCTCCAAGGGCCTTGGATCGAACCCCCGCGACACCTCCTGTATACCAGGCGAGGTTGTTAACATCTCACCACCTCGAAACTCAGGCCCTCCCCCATAACGTCAGCATCTCGCACCTGCACGAGACGATTTCATTGCTCCGTCTCCCCGGTGGAGGATCCGCTAAGGCGCGTTCATCCTTCGGCTCTCGCTCCATCGCCTCGAGCCCAAGGCCACTTCGTCGATGATGATTGATGATGGCTCTAACCCAGGGGTCGGTAAACTGCGGCTCTTTGGATGCCTTCTTGCTGCTCTTTGCCTGCCCCGTACCGGGCAGCCGTTTGAAAAACAAATAAATTGTAAACACATAAAGATAATTGATTAAAGGTGGCAGGGAAATGGGTTTCACTATGGAATGTCTTGGTGACGACAAATGTACAACAGTCAAACTGTATTGATAAATATTAACTAAGCGGAGGAGGGGGGACTAAATAGAATCCGTTTATTCCATCACATATTTTGTTTATTTAAATAAGCACTTGTTTGTTACATGCTGGACACCCACTGCCGTGTATGTGTCTGTGTACAAGTCGCTCTGCGTGTGATGCGGCTCTGTAACTATTTTGGCAAAAGACAAAAACAAAAATAATGGCTCTTCATCTTTGAAGCATCGCCGTCCCCTGCTCTAACCTGTGCGCGTTCTCTAATCCACGTCTTCCTCTTCACGCCTCGAAGTCTCATTCCGAGCTTGCGCCCTCTCTGCAAGCTTCTCTGCGCGCGCACTCAGTTTTCTGTTCCGCTTTTTGTTGGCCAATCTCCGTGATTTGTGGCCCGGTGCCGTTGATGATCGGCGCCGATTGAAGACGCCGTTCTCTCGGCGCACCGCTGGTACCACGTTGCTTTCCATTGTCAAACAAAAACGACACTCAACGCATTCGTCAATAACACTTACAAGGCCCCGTATATAGCAATATACGACGTTTCGGGCAATGGCCCTTTTTCACAGCACATTTTTATTCTTCGTGAACATCGACTTTCAAGTTCAGCTTCCTAAGAGCACCCTAACCCCGCCTCTTTGCCGTCTTGATCCCGATCTGCCCGTGATAATTGCCTGAGACGCTCTCTTCAACACGATGCTTCACTGCGGTGCGTATCAGTTAACAATGAGGCATTCGAATATGCCACGCAATTAACGTGTCAATTTGTTGGCGAGTTAATCTGTTCAAATAGCAGTCGCCCATCGGTCAATTAACGGAGCAATGTGTCAATTAGCAATCAGATGATGATGCACTCCGGTTAAACGTATTGGCGGTGGCTCAATCGGTTTTAACAACGGCTCCATTAGTAACGGATCAATCAGCTAATCATGTGTTAATTACAGGAACAGCTTCATTAGCGCAGGCGAGAGTTAACACTGGCTCCGCTAGAACTTGCGACGCTCTAATGAACAATGCTTCAGCCCATAGAAACAACGCCTCCATCACATGATGGCGCTCTATCACCGAAAATGAAACCTGGGACACCACACTTCGGCAATGACTTTAGCTGATGGCATGCCTAGTGGTGAAACACTTGCTCCTACCCTTGCAAACTAGCTAACTCTACCCCAGCACTAGCCCTAAGCCTTGCAAACTAGGCAACTCTATAATAGAGGGGTTTGGGTTAGATCGCGTAAATATATAAATGTGTCGTTAAAACCCGACACCACCCGACACAGCCAACTAGTAAGGGTTGTCACGTAAACAGAACGTGGCCAATTCGTCACTAGTACAGCACACCGGTGTGCTGGAGAGTCAAGCCACAACATATACAATCTGAGTACGATGTTTCGCCAGTTATTACGATTAGCTTCATCAGGCGACAGCCAGATTTGTGGAGAAGTCCACCTTTTTCGTTCCTTATATAGAGGCGTAGATGTGGTGACCACCCTTCTGCGCTCTTGCACAATGTGGGGGGGGGGGGGGGGTGACTGAGGCAACGTACATTATGCATGTGCTTTATGCGAGCCCTTTGAACTTGTCCTTCCTGTCTATTGTGTTTATTAAAATAGCTGTACCAAAGGTAATCCCTATTGAAGTACGCTGCCCTTTGTAGGCATGCATTTAAATAATGTATTATTTGATTATTCGCTTCCACACAGCACTAAGGCGGTAGCTATCATAACGGTTAAAGTTATTTTTATTCATTTCAATTTCGATAGATTATCTAATTAGTCTTGGCCAGTAGTAGCTAGTTTTGCATAAAACTTTAACATTATCAAAATTAATTGAGTGTCCTTGTTGGCACGCGTATTCTGCTACTGCTGACAGTTGTATTTGAGATCATTTAATATTTCTCTGATGTTCTTTATGTCTCGTGCTGATCATTCGTCCTGTTTGCCAAACATAACATTTACCACACGTGCAGTTAATCCTGTACAGACCTGCTGTTGATAGCTTCGGTAATACATCTTTTGTACCAGATATTAATTTCTGTGTTTTATGTACCGTGCCAAATCTGACTCGGATGTTTTGTTTTTTCCAAACATCTGGCTAGTTTATCAGTTACTCCCGCAATGTACGGTATTTTGATCGTTTTAATTACTTGAGCAGTTTCAATGCTCGTGTTAGTTGATTTGTTTTTGGTATTCAATGCCTTGTTGATTTGTGCATCATTGTCACCGCTCATTTGCAGCGCTTCTTTAACATGTTGAATTTCACTTCTCAGACTGTCACCATATGGCACTTTCTTAGCTCGATGAATGAGCGTCTTGATAAGAGCAGATTTCTACATGGGGTGATGGTGTGACTGCATTCAGATAGGCGATAGGCGGCCGTATGCGTTTTCTTTCGGTAAACACTTTGTGTTATTTTACCATTCTTACCCCGTCCGAGCAGAATATCCAGAAATGGTAGACTTCTGTCAGCTTCCACTTTCATGGTGAACTGGATAGATGGGTTTTGCGAGTTTAAATTATTTAGAAATGCGTTCAGTGTATCTTTGCCGTGTGGCCAGACCACCAATGTGCAATTCACATATCTAAACCAAGCAGATGGTTTGTGTGCTTGAAGCTATTGCTTTTGTTTAAAAAATACAACTGTCAGCAAGTAGCAGAACACGCGTGCCAACAAGGACACTCAATTGATTTTGATAATGTTGAAGTTTTGTGCAAAAACTAGCTACTACTGGCCAAGACTAATTAGATAATCTATCGAAATTGAAAGCAATCAAAATAACGTTAACCGTTTGGATAGCTACCGCCTTAGTGCTGCGTGCAAGCGAATCATCAAACAATACATTATTTAAATGCATGCCTACAAAGGGCAGCGTACGTCAATAGGGATTACCATTGGTACGGTTATTTTAATAAACAATAGACAGGAAGGACAAGTTCAAAGGACTCGCATAATGTGCATGCATAATGTACGTTGACTCAGTAACCCCCCCCTTCCCCCCATATTGTGCAAGAGCGCAGCTGCATCTACGCCTCTGTATAAGGAACAAAACAGGTGGACTTCTCCAGAATTCTGGCTGTCGCCTGATGAAACTAGTCGTAATTACTGGCGAAACGTCATACTCAGTGTGTAAATGTTGTGACTTGGCTCTCCAACACACCGGTGTGCTGTATTAGTGATGGATTGGCCACGTTCTGTTTACGTGGCAGCCCTTACTAGTTGGCTGTGTCGGGTGGTGTCGGGTTTTAACGACACATTTATATATTTCGCGATCTAACCCAAAAAACTCTATTATGGATGTTATTGGTCGCGAAAGCCTACGTGTTAAACTAGTCAACTCTATGAAAATAGATGTTATCCTTTTTTCTGCGAACAAAACAGGTGGTAAGATGTTAAAACATCAAACTGAAACCTTTTACAAGGAATCATGTCTGC